TAGTTGAAGAGGTTCTGGAAGAAAATTTCCCTAACATCTTAAAATATGAGAAGATAAACATTCAAGAAGCCGATAAAATTCTGCAACTATAGTAGGAGATTTTAATATGCCACTTTCAAAAAGGGACAGAACAACCAGAAAGAAACTCGACAAAGTTACAGAGAAACTAAACTACACAATTAACCAACTTGACCTCATAGATGTGTACAGAGCATTCAACCCAACAACAGCACAATATACTTTCTTTTCCAGTGCACATGGAATATTCTCCAGACTTGACCATCTGTTAGGTCACAAAGCGACTCTCCATAACTTTACAAATATCATAAGACTGCAGAGCATCTTCCCAGACCATAATGCTATAAAACTAGAAATCAACAAAAAGAAGACTAAGCAAATAAAGTTGAATACATGGAAACCCAACAACACCCTGCTGAAAAGCGACTGGGTAAAAGAAGAAATTAAATGTGAATTCATAAAGTTCCTAGAAACAAACGAGAATGAAAACACAATATACCAAAATCTTTGGGACACAGCCAAAGCGGTGCTGAGAGGACAATTTATTGCAATAAATGTATGCATCCAAAAAGAAGAAAGAACCAAAATTAACACATTAACACAGCATCTACAACAATGGAAACAGACCAACAGAGGGAACCTACAACCACCAAAAGAAAAGAAATAATAATAAAGATAAGAGCAAAAATAAATGAGATGAAAAACTATAGAAAGAATCAGCAGGACAAGAAGCTGGTACTTTGAAAGGATTAATAAAATTGACAAACCATTGGCAAACCTAAAAATAAAAAAGGGAGAAGACACAAATAACTCGCATTAGAAGCCACAGGGCAATGCCACAATGGAACCAAACGAAATCAAAAGGATAATAACTTAGAAGAGCCGGATGCATTTTTAGAAAAACACGACCTACCAAAACTTACACAGAGTGAAGTAGAAAACCTGAACAGACCCATAACAAAAGAAGAAATTGATCAGGCCATCAAAAAATTGATCAGGTCATCAGGTAGGGCCTCTGTGGTGTACCCTTTGGTTATTTGTTGATGCATGGAGGGGATTGTAATCATTGCAATGAAACGAAATACGATACGATGAGTGTAAAATGAGTGTAAAGCTGATGTTTTCTCATGTAAACCTCACAATAAAAACTTAAAATAACAACAAAAAAAATGAGTAATTGTTATCATGAATAATTGCGACTTTTGTAAATGTAGAAGTTTTGTGACAAAAATGGGGGCACAATTAATCTTACAGTCCAGAAACAAAGGATTCTGGGACCATCAAGGGAGAAGAGCACAAGCGAAATGCAGGACTTTATCCAGAGAAGCAGCAACACCAGAGATGCAGGCAGAGATGGGCATATGGAGAAGGGGTGGGGGTGGGGGGTGGCAGCTGTATCTATTATATTCATGGGAAGAGAGGGACTAAGAGATGGTGGCCATGAGGCCGACTTGCAGAATGTGCCCTCTGGTGGTATAAATTATTACATATGCCTGAGTTTGTTTTTTTAAAGAGCTATAGTGAATAGAAATACTGTTAACTGATGGTACATGGAGGGGAATGTAATCATTGTGATGAAACAAGTTGTATGATTTGTTGAATGTAAAACTGATGATCTGCCCTGTAAACTTTCACTCAATCCACAATAAAAACTTAAAGGAAAAAAAAAAGATGTATCAAATGTGAAAAGAAAAAAAAATGCGATGATATTACGATGATGCTTAGTCTCTATGATACATAAACCATAATTCAAGATTCAATTGTCATATAATCTTTACTCCTGATGACAACACAGAAAATACTTTATAGTCACAGCAAATTCTCAATAGTCATTATTTGCTTTTAATTTATAACGAACTCATCTTCTGACTCGGTTTAAGGCCCCTTAAGATTTAAAGTGAGTTCTGGTGTGTTGCTATAGGATAAGCACTGGACTGCTAACCACAAGGCTAGTAGTGCCACATTAACTGCTCCTTGAAAACCCTATATAGGTTCACTGTATGTTGGTTAGTTCCAACTAACTTGACTACACTTAACAGTATTTAAAGGGAAGTTTTATTACATCTTGTATAGGCAAATGAAGGTACTATAAAAGAAATGTGGAGTCTAAATATTGCAACAATGTAAAAATGCACCACAACTTACCTAAAGAAAATCTTTGATGCAACATGACAGATATTAGAACTTTGACTTCAAATCTGTAAACTAAAGTTCTCAGAAATGCCATGGTGGCGGTAGTTGTGTGCCGTGGAGTCGTTTCTGACTCGTAGCAACTCTGTATAGGGTTCCCGAGGCTGTAAAACTTTACGGGAGCAAAAAGTTTCATCTTTTTTCCTCAGATCAACTGGTAGATTCAAACTGCTGACCTTGTGGTTAGTAGCCAGCTCATAAGGTACTATGCTACCCAGGATCTTTTTATCCATAAAAATCAATATACAATGTTGGCTCTGTGAGTTAAACCTGCAGATGTCACAGAGAAAATCTTCTCTCTTATTTCTGTTAATTCATCCTAAATTATTTAGTAATAAGAACTATTTCAAAGGAACACAGGGAGAAATGAAGCATTATAACAAATTCAGAATTGCTTAAAATGAAAATAACATTTATTTACTAATACTATTCTGGAAAAATACATTCTAATGAATTCTTGCTTTGCCCTCCTTTAAAGATTACTTTATGTACTTCAGCCAGTACACTGAGTGAGGATCGGCGCCAGACATTACAGTAGTGGTTTGACAAATCTTGGCTTCCAGAGTCGTAACTTGCAACCCCGAGTTGGCTTTGCACGATTGATTTTAAAGTGCTCATTACAATTCTTCCTGAAACAAGGCTGTATGCCTTCAAGAATATTTACATTTAACCTTGTGAGCTCACTTCTACAGGAACAGTGAACTTTATTTTTCAGTTGCAGGCAGAGAAGGGATCGGTTTAATGTAAGGAATTAACTAAGTTTGGCTGACAGAAGCCAAGATCTCAAAAAAAATCAAAATTTAAGGAACTTAAGTATAGGTGCATCATTGTTGTTGTTAGATGCCATCGAGTCGGTGCTGACTCATAGCGACCTTATGCCCAACAGAATGAAACGCTGCCCGATCCTGGGCCAACCTCACTACTGTTGCCACGCTTGAGTCCATCGATGCTGCCACTTGGCCAATCCATCTCGTTGGGGGTCTTCCTCTTTTTCTTTGACCCGCCACCTTAACAAACATGTTATCCTTCTCCAGCGACTGGTCCCTCCTGACAATATGTCCAAAGTATGAGAGACAAAGTTTGGCCATCTTGGCCTCCAGGGAGCACTCTGGCTGCACTTCTTCCAAAACGGATCTATTGGTTCTTTTGGCAGCCCATGGCACTTTCAATATTCTCCTCCAACACCGTAACTCAAAGGCATCAATTCTTCTACGGTCTTTCTTATTCACTGTCCAGCTTTCGTACGCATATGAGGTTATTGAAAAGTACACATACTTGGCTTTATCTGAGCTTCAAAAAGTATTCTCTAATTTGACCTATACTTATGTGGTGGTGCTGTGTGCCGTGGAGTCGGTTCCCACTCATAGCGACCCTGCACAGGGTTTCCGAGCCTGTAAATCTTTACGGGAGGAGAACGCCTCATCTTTCTCTCGCGGAGCAGCGAGTAGTTTCGAACTGCTGACCTTGCGGTTCGCAGCCCGATTCGAAACCACTATGCTACCAGAGCTCCTTGCTTTAAAATACCAACCAAGAGGAAAGGAGTCTTCACATCAAATATAAGTCCTATCCCCTCTGTATGAAGGGTTGATAGGGATGGGCAATTTAGACATTGGCTACCTAAAATGAGCGAGGTGTGTGTCGGAGGGTCCTATACAGGCACTAAGCGACTGGCTTATACGTTTTTAAGAGGGAATTTAAGTTAAGAGTGTGCAGGGGAAGGTTGAATCCCCACTGAATAGGAACAGAGCACACCAGGACCATCAAGGGAGACGAGTACAAGCGGAATGTGGAACCCTCTCCAGAGAAGCAGCAACACCAGACATGGAGGCAGAGGAGAAGAGGGAGCAGCTGAAGACTCCAGACTCATGGGAAGAGAAAGACTGAGTGCTGGTGGCCAGAAGGCAGGCTTACAGAATGTGCCCTTGGGTTGTTTACATTATTATATATGCCTGAGTGATTTTGTGTATATCCCTCCCGCCTCCAAAAAAAAAAAAAAAAAAAAAATAGAGGGAATGGAAGCAATTACTGTATTACTGTTGAACGAGATATACAGAAGAGATTGTAATTAATGCAATGAAACGATGGCATAAAGCCAATGTTCTCCCATGTAAATATCACTCAGTTCACAAAAAAAACTTAAAAGAAAAAAAGGCAGGAAAGGTTAGGGAAGGAAGAGGAATGCAAACAGGAAACAGGGAAAGCAGCATAAGTGATATTACATTGTGGGACTGTAATCAATGAGATGAAATAAAATGTGTAAAATTGAATGGAAATTGATCTTCGCTGTAAACCTTCACCCAATTCACAATAAAATGTTGGGGGAAAAAAGTTGGTGGCACCAAATGAGAGGACAACTACCTTTTTAAATTATTATATTAAATTAATATCACATGAAACTCAAGAGTAAGCAGAAAGAAGGCTAAACTGCATTTTAGAGTCATGGTAACACCAACTAATTTTTTAAACGTGAAAAACCAAATTTGTTAGGAAATTTTCAAGATAATTAACTTATTTTCACAACGCTTGAAAACGCAATTTGTTTGATCAAAAGACTGGATGAATCCATTGATGTCTGCAATGAAGAGGGCTCAGAAGCCATTGTACAATCACTACAAAAGTACATACAAGACTGAATCTAAGAGTTACTATATGCTGCTGTTGTTGTTAAATGCTGTCAAGTTGGTTCTAACTCAGTGACCCTGTAGGAGGTTTCCAAGGAGCGGCTGGTGGGTTTGAACCAACAATCTTGTGGTTAGCAGAGCAGTGATTGTTCTACAGAGCCACACAAGGACTTAGAAGCAATGTTTAATTTAATCTTGACAGAAGAAAAATGCAAATGCAATATTTTAAGTAGAATTCCTTCTTGCCTTCCTACTTTAGTATTTTACACATTACAAATTAATTTCAGAAAAAATTAAAATTATTTAAATAAGATTCCAGATCTAATTTGGCACATTTATATGTGAAACAACCCTCCTCCCCCAAACAGGAGAAGATACCGCTGTAATACACACACACAAAAAAATAAAAACTTTCAAAAATATTTTAATAAACTCTTTTATCATTTTCATTTCAGTTTAAATCATTCCATTATGAAAAATTTTCAATTGAGAGTATTTCCTCAGAAATCTAAGGTGAGCTTTATCAATCAAATTTATAGCAGTACAGCCTTTAATAATACATAATTCCTCATTTTACAATAACACTTTGTATATAAAAATTTTTCATTGTCACAGATTCAAAATACAAGGCACCTAATGCTATAAAAGGATAATACAACATATATGTGATGTAGGCAAACCAAGATCTTTTCTCAAATATTTATTCTTTTTAAAGCTCCATCAAATTCACATGAACATTACCTGTTGCATAAATTAAACATTCTTTTTTGCATTCTTAATTTGCAATATTTTACAAAACTTAGAAATGTACTCTGTACCTATTACAGGCAGCTTATTTTAGCACTCTGCCTGCAAGAAACACTGATCTATATACACAAATGATTTCCTGACACCATTTTTATTATATAGTCCAGCATTTAACAAATATGGGAAAATAAAATCTCTAGAACGTTGATTAGTTCAAACGATCTCCTCTGCTGAATTCCTTGAGATGTCTAAGGCAGGTTGGTCCTTTAGACGGACTGTGGCCTGGAACGCCCTATCACTGTAGTGATACACTGACAGCTACACAGTAAAGTATTTCAGTATGAAAATGAAGAAAACAGATAGGAGCAAAATATACTTCAGAGTTTCAAAGAACTGAAACCGTTAATTTTCAGACTAGGCACTGAAACATTTTTCTACAGAAACTTCCCAGAGATTGTCTCTCCGCTCATAAAGTTCCATTATCAAGCTAAAAAAAAACAGTAAAAAAATACCATTAGATTATAATTTTTTAATTTTAAAAAAGCAACCAATCTTAACATCATTCATAGTACATAACAACTGGGTACTTGCACTGGCAGTGAGTATTAACAATTTCAAAGACTGACATTTAACACTATATATAAAGATTGCATAACAGCACTGTTTGATTTTGGTATACTCCAGCATTATCCTGGTCAACACAAAGACTCCTGACAAACCTGTTCTGTTGTGTTCTACTCTAGTTGACTGTAAACCATGTTCTAGAGTTTTCACTATCTCCCTTTCACCTGGTTTTCATTTCTAAATACACTGAAGATAGGTGTTAGGAGTGTGAGTATGGGAATAATGCACAGGCTACATACAAAGTGCATAAGTTACATCATTAAAAATGCAAATTACTCTGTGTGTGTCCCTCAGTTATCTAGTACTGTTAAAACAAAAATAACCACAAATGGATGGCTTCAACAAATTGAATTTTTTTTTTTCTCGTAGTTTGAGTCAGTTCCAACTCATAGTGACCCTGTATAGGATTTTTTGAGGTTGTATATCTTAGCAGGAGCAGAAAGCCTCATCTTTCTCCTGTGGAGTGGCTGCTGGGCTTGAACCACCAATCTTGTGGTTCCCAGTCAAGTTCTCATAGTTCAGAAGGATAGAAATCTGAACTCAGGGTGGTGCTGGTTCTAACGGAAGACTTTCTCTTTCTGTTGACTCTGATGCAAGGTCTTTCTTTGTCTCGTTGAGTTTCTGCTCCTGGAAGACCTATGTGTGACTTGACATCTTTCTTTTCCTGTGTTGGCTTTTATATCTCAAAAAGATGGTGCTGTAGGATTAGCATTGGCCACAAGGTCAGTTTGAACTCCAAGACTGCTGGTTCAAATCCACCAACTGCTCCTTGAAAACCCTATACAAGGTCACTATGACTCGGAACCAACTAGAGGGCACTAAATAACATCAACAATACCCTATAAAAAATCCTGTCTCATTAATAAAACAAAGGCAGCCCATTTCCAAATGGGATTATAAACCCAGGCGTTGTACAGAGCTACTCTGTATAGGGTTTCCGAGGAACTACTAGTGGGTTGGAACCTCCAAACCGACCTTGTTGTCCAGTGCTTATCCTACAGCACCACACAGACCTAGAGATTAGGATATGTAACACATACTTAGATCCACATGTTCCCTTAAATTTCAGGTATTTAAAAAGGAATAAACCATATGGACTACGAGAAGATCAGAGAAAACAACAGAATAGCAGCTGATTTAGCTAGGAATGGAGAAAGCAAGACATTCCTTTTGGCAAGGAGAAGTAGAAAATTGTTACAAAGTCTATAGAAAAAGCTGTTAGAACTCACATACCCTCCCCCTTACTTTTTTACAGCTGGTCAGACAAGAACCAGTAAAAAGATTCATATTCTCTAAAAGGAACGCTAACAGATGGTCTCTGGGTTGAAGCATAACTGTATGTGTAGGAGTTTCCTACTGAAAACAGGAAGAGCAAGCCAAAATGTACATGACACGCCCAGCATTTTTTGTTCCCCTCTCCCAGAATGTAGGTTTTTATTGTTGTCGTTAAGAGCCAATGAATCCAATCTGACCCATAGGGATCCTGTATAGGGTTTCCGAGGAGCAGCCAATGGGTTTAAACTGCTGACTTTATGGTTCATAGAAGAGTGCTGGTCCTACAGTGCCATACCATTAGTCCAGAATGTAGATAGTCAGGCAGAAAGCTGAAGGTCTGATCTGATCATTTAAAGGTACTGCTAATCAGGAGTTCTGTATGGCAGCAGCCCAGACAGACCATCCTTACAGACGTCCTCAACAGACATGGCCCACTCACTCCACGAGCTTCCCGGTAGCCTGTTTGTGTGCCACTCACTCACAGCACAAACAAGAACCATGCATCACCAGGTAGTTGAGAGACGCATGCAAAATAAAGCAAAACTTGGGAGTAATGTACAGAAAATAAAGTCACACTGAGAAAAAAACAAGAAAATATCACACCAGAAAAATATTGTTGTAAGTGCTGCCAAGTCAGTTCCCACTCATAGTGACCCTATACAGCGCTTCTGAGGAGCAGCTGGTCATTCTGAACAGCAGACTGTGTGGTTCAAACTGACCTTGTAGTCCAGTGCTTATTCTACAGTGCCATGTCAGGACTCCTGAGAAAATATGCTATAAAAATGGAGTTTTAAGAGACTAAAATGTATTCTTAAAACTTCATACTATGATTATTGTTACTCTATGCTGTCGAGTTGATGCCAATGCATAGTGACCCTATATGACTGACAGAGTACAACTGCCCTATAGGGTTTCATACCCAGAGAAGCAGCAATCAAAAAATCAAATGACATACTGCATCAGGCAACTCTGCAGCAAAAGATCTCTTTGAAGTGTTAAAAAAAACAAAGATGTCACCTTGAAGACTAAAGTACACTTGACGATGGTATTTTCACTCACTCAAATTTGTGTGAAAGCATACAATGAATATGGAAGACAGAAGAAGTGCTGCATTTGAATTATCGTGTTGGCGTAGAATACTGAATATACCATGGACTGCCAGAAGAATGAACAATCTGTCTTGGAAGAAGTACAGACAGAATGCTTCTTGTAAGCAAAGATGGTGAGAGTTCATCTCACTTACTTTGGAACCTTTGGACATGTTCCACGAGGGCCCAGCTAGTCTCTGGAGAAGGCCATCATGCTTGATAAAGCAGAGGGTCAGTCATTAGGAGGAAGACTTTAGGAGGTGGGCTGGCATAGTGGTTGCAACAATGGGCTTAAAGAGCAATGGCTATGAGGATGCTGCAAAGCAGTGCTTTGTTCTTTGTTCTGTTATACACAGGGTCGCTATTAATGGAAACCAACTCAACAGCACTTACCAACAACAATCTTTATGTGAGTAGACCACCAGGTATTTTCTCCTTCAGAATAGCTGGTAGGCTCAAACCTCCAACTTTTTAGTGAGTAGCTAAGCATTTAACTATTATGTTACTAGAGCTCCTTCAATACTAGGATAAAACACTGAAACCAAAAGCCATGGAGTCAACTCGAATTCACAGTGACAGTCTGCTACTCTACATCTTTCTCTTGCAAAGCAGAAGATGGGTTTGAATCACTGAGCTTTCAATTAACAGCCAAGCACTTAATCATTGTACTACCAGGGCTCCTCAAAGCTATGATAGCAGAAATAAATGAAAAGCTAAAAAATGAATAAAAATTTATCTTTATTATAACTATAAAGATACAGTCGAAGGTCCTAGGAAGTATGAAACTAAACAAAACCATCAATTTCCATGTATACTGGATTGCTGAGATTGTAAACCCTTGCAAAAGTAGACAGCCTCATCTTTCTTCCTTGGAGTAGATGGCAGATTTGAACCACCAGACTTATGGATAGAAGCCCAACACCTAAGCCACAACACCACCAGGAAGTACAATGAAAAGGCAAATGGAACAGAAAAATATAAAAGGAAAAATAAATTTAGAACAGTCCAAAAGGTATACATCCAAACAATAGCTCTTTCATTAGGAAAGAAGAGAGGAAAAAAAAAAAAAAAAAAACTGGAGAAGAAATGATCAAATAAATAATCAGGAAAATTTTTCAGACTGAAAGGATGTAAGTTTCTAAACTTTCAGGCCCATCAATTGCCCACTATGAGGTAGATCTCCCTGAAGACACATCTTAACTCAAATTGCAGTCCATTGTGAAATTTGAGCAGAATCTTTTATAAATGACATTGTGGCTATTTGATTAATTTTCAGTGCTGAACACATATCATTTATCTTAATATTCTTTTTTTCTGACAATGTACTAGGAGGCTAGTGAGCCAGTACTTACAAAGTCTGTGCTTGTTTCATGAATATTTTCATTGTGAAATTTCATACAGCACAGAAGCAGATTCTCTAAATTCCCAGGAAGAAGGGTGAGCGGTGTAGCGGATGGGTGGTGAAAACAGATAAACAAAATGACAAGATATATGCAAAGAGTCCTGAATCAGAAAGGCATTTTTAAACAGCAACTCTGGAAAATGCCTTGGAAAATCTGAAGAATGATTTCCAGTTTAGAATTCCATTTATAGCCAAACTATAAAAAAGGTGTATGTCGTTGGTGTTGACAGCCATCAACTCATAGCAACCCTGTATAGGGTTTCCGAAGAGCAGCTGGTGGGTTTGAACTGCCGACCTTGTAGTCAGCAGTCCAGTGTTGACCTTACAGTACCACACCAGGAGTCCATAAATTAGGTGAATAGCAAAATAAATTTATCTTAAATGCAGGGCCTAGCTTTTAACAACTAGATTATCTAGTAACAAAAGTACAAACAGCAAAAGATAAAATAAACAAATGGGGCCCTCGTAGAAATTTAAAACTTTTTCATCAAAACACTTAGCCAAAAAAGTGGTAAGACAAGCTATCAATGGGACGAATATCTTCAAAAACCAAATATCAGATAAGGATCTAATAACCAAAATATAGAAAAGTTTGACAGGTTAACAACAAAAAGAAAATAACTCATCATAAAATGGACAAAGAACTTGAATAGACATTTTACCAAAAAGGACATTCAAATGGTCACCAAACACAGAAAAGTTATTCAACATAATTGGCCATTGTTGCTGTTGTTGTTGTTAAGTGCCATCGAGTTGGTTCTGACCCATAGTAACCCTGTATAGGATTTCCGAGGAGCAGCTGGTGAGCCTGAACTGCTGACCTTGCAGTTCAAACAGTTTTGCAGTATGGCGCATTAACCCACAGTGCCACACCAGGACTCCTAACTGGCCATTAGAGACACGCAAATATCAAAACCACAATGAGATTCCATTTCACTCCCACTAGGATGGCTAGACAATCTTGGTGTGGCGCTGTGGGTTAATGCGCTAGACTGAAAAGTTGGTTTGAACATCAAGGTCAGTGGTTCAAGTTCACCAGCTGTTCCTAGGAAACCCTATGCAGGGTCAGTATGAGTCAAAACCAACTTGGTGGCACTTAACAACAGTAACAAAGGATGGCTAAAAATGAAACAAAACAAAGTAAGAAAACAACAGATATTGGAGAGGATCTAGAGAAACTGGAACTCTTTTCCATTGCTGGTGGGAATACAAATGGTACAACCATTATGAAAACAAAATGGTGGTTCTCAAAACACTAAATATAGAACTACCATTGTTGTTGTTGTGAAGTGCCATTGCGTTGGGTTCCAAGGTTTGGCTGGTGAACTTGAACTGCCGACCTTGCAGTTCAAACGGCTTTGCAGTCTGGAGCATTAACCCACAGCACCACACCAGACTGTCGTAAGACCCAGCAATTGCACTCCAAAAGACTGGAGAGCAGAAACCCAAATAGAGACTTGTACATTAATATTCATTGCACTACTGTTCACGGTAGCCAACCTAAATGTCCAAGAGATGAATGGATAAAGAAAATTTGGCAAATACATACAAAGGAATAACTACTCAGTCATTATAAGGAATGAAGTGTTGATACATGCTACAATATGGATGGTGCTTGGAGACATTATGCTTAGTGAAACAACTCAAATACTGTATGACCTTAGTTATATAAAAAGACAAAGGGCAAATATGCAGAGAACAAAGCTTATGAATGGTTACCAGGAGCAGGAGAAAAAAGAAAAAGAGGGTTAACAGTGATGGGAAAACTGCCCATTTTTAAGGATAAGGTTACACAGTTGATTATTACAATTGCTGTCCATGTGTTATACACCTGTTAAAAGTTGAAGTGGCAAAAGCTGTATGATAGATACATTTACAACAGCTATAAAAGAACAGGAGCTGCTGAAGCTGCTTATTTATGTACAAGCCAAAACCTCCTGGGCTTTGGTTCCTTGGTTTGGAGGGTTCATCGGCCATTCCAGTTAAGTCGCCTCTAATAACATGTCTGGTGCTTCTGCTTTACTTCCAAATTTGTTGCAATATCTGGGTTCTTACAAAGACTTTCAAGCAGCCATCCAAGGCACAATTCGTTTTGAGGAAGACAGAGAGTAAATAACAGGAGAAAACCTGCAATGTGTGGTCCAACTTGAAGAACGTAAACAATACTACCTACTAAGTGATACATGGAGAAACTACTGAATTGGTAGATGTTTTGCTGCATACATTCTCTACAGCAAAATAAATTTAAAAAACAAACAAAAAACCTCATGCTCTTTTCCTTAGGAAGCTACCTGAAGAGGGCTGAAACGAAACAGCATAAATCAATAATGACAAGACACAGGGTCCAAAAAACTGTGGCTCTATGAGGGTACGTACAAAAGTATTGCTAAACACTCAGTGTTGTTGTTAAGGGCCACTGAGTCGGTTCCGACTCAGAGCAACCCTGTATAGGGTTTCCAAGGAGTGACTGGTGAGCTTCAACTGCCAACCTTGTGATTCAAACCAACCATGCAGTCCAGTACATTAACCTACAGCGGCACACCAGGACTCCACTCATAAAAACCATTATTAAGCAAAAATATCAAAACGTGAAACGATTGTTTTTTAACTTGTCCTCCATATAGGTCTAGGAGGAGTGGCTCCATACGATAAGCACTGGACTTCAAACCACAGCTCAATGTTGTAAATCTACCAGTTGCTCCACAAGAGAAAGATGAGACTTTCTGTTCCCACAAAGATTTAAAGCCTCAGAAACCCTATGCAAGGTCGCTATGAGTTGGAACCAACTCCATGCCACTTAACAACAACAAGGTCTTCTAAAAGTGGAATTTCTATTCTCTGTCCTAGTGTGGGCACTGTAGGGTCAGCACTGGACTGCTAACTCCAAGGTCAGCAGTTCAAACCCACCAGCCACTCCTTAAAAAATCTATACATGGTCCCTATGAGTAGAAACCGACTTGATGGCACATAACAACAACTTGTTGTTGTTATGTGTATTACTGAGAAAACTTGCCTGCAGTCATCCACTGATTACAGAGGCATTTAAAACATATTTTCTTTGGAGTAAATCCATACACGTATGAACTAGTAGCATAGTGGGCTCAGCATTGGGATGCTAACCACAGAATTGGTGGTTCAAACTCATTAGCCACCTGTGGGAGAAAGGTGAGGTTTTCTGCTTCCATGAAATTTGACAGCCTTGGAAATCCTATGGCGCAATTCTACTCTGAGTCAGCAATGACTCAATGGCAGTGGGTTTTGGGTTTTATGTATGAACTGGAACCCAGTGTGGTTGGTGGTTAAGTGTTGTTGAGTCAGTTCTGACACACAGTGACTCTGTATAGGGTTTCAAAGGAGCCACTGGTGAGTTTGAACTGCCGACCTTGCAGTTCAAGCCAACCTTTTGGTCTAGTGCTTATTCGACAGTGCCACACCCTAGTAGCAATACTGTTTAACTTACACTCATATTACATAAGCCAGAGGCAAAGAATGATGGTGAAGAGAGAACTTAAGACAACCGCTATTGTAGTAGGCTGGAGAACCACCAGTTCGTTTTGGAGCAGATCAGAAAATTTCAGGTGGTAAGTACATCAAGGAAATGAAATAGGCTTATGATCTTATATGGTCTCATGTTCTCAGAGTGGACAAGGGAGTTAAGGATTGAACTATCTATAACAAAAACTTGAAAGAGCAAGTGGTATGAGGTGGGGAAGGGGTCAACTCCAAAAACAACAAAATATTCAGGGAAAGGAACTGCAGAGTCTTTCATGTTGTCTAAACATGTAACCAATGAATATGGCTCTATCAAGGCTTACGGACTAACTCCCGCAGCATGATAAGGCACGAAGGGCAGGTGCAGAGGAGCAATTACCTTGACATAAACTGTCAGAGAGCAAAGTCAATAGAAAATGCCTAAACTAGAAATATGAACATGAACTTTGAGACTGAGAAATACATTTCAGAATAGTTAGTGAAGACTTTGAAGTGACATCCTTACTGGGAAAATAATGACAACATAGACAACTATGCAGGACATAGATAACTGTGTGGTTTAACTCCTTTAAACTTATGAGGGCATTTCAAAATGTTTGTGGGAAAATCCCATTATCTTTTTATTCCATTTTTCCATGTACTTTTTGAAGTCCCTTCATATAGCTCTTAAAACTATGTAAATATGTAAATGTCATAATGAACACGAAACCAAAAGATGACCTGCCAAAGAAAAGAAGACTCAGATGATTGGCTTAAGGTGGCTGTTGCTAGTAAGTGGTATGGAGTCGGTTCTGACTCACAGTGACCCTGTATAGGGCTTTGAAGGCTTTAAATCTTCACAGGAGCAGAAAGCCTCATCTTTCTTCTGCAGCTTATGGTTAGAAGTGGCTTCATCATGAAGCTAAGAAAACTTCAGCTTCAAGACCCTTATGAGTGCAAGGAGTTACCGGGAGTTGTAAATGTTCTAGGTGAGGAGAGGAAGTCCTGCCGCAATCACCAGGCACTTCAATATGAAGAAAACTGCCTAAAGATATCTTGGTGAAAAAGAACCAGAATCTCCAGAATCACAGGAAATGATGGTACTCTCTCATTCTAAATAATTACTTTGTAACTGTCAAAGAAATACAATGGATTTATTTCAAGCATTTATCCATCACATCACTAAATCCCCAGGTACTCTTTCTGTCAGGTAAGAGTTATTAAAAATATAGTGCTTCTGAGAGTTAGAAAGTGATGAAACACTTTTGAAACATTATTAAGTGAATAAATACAAACAATTGGGCTAGTTATGCAAAACATATACACACACATATAAAAAGAATGTACATATAACAAAACAATATATTTTTCTTGAACTTCAAGTACTTTTATAACCAGAGAGAAAAAATTTTCTGTAGTACATTAAATAAAATGATCATCCTTAGTATGAATAAAGGAAATAGCTAAAATTTACTGACCATTTAATATGAGCCATAATTATTATATAAGGGATTTCAAAAAGTTTGTGGAAAATTCCATTATCTTTTTTTCTATTTTTCCACAAACTTTTTTTAAGCCCTCTTGTATGTACTCTTAATTTAATAAATAGTAAATGATTCTATCAACCTGATAACAGAAGTTCTATTATAAACTTTATTTTAAAAATAACAAAATTGAGGCACAGAGGTAAACCTTGAACAAGGTCACCTAACTAGTACTGGAGAAGCTAAAATTAGAACTCAGTTTGAATCTAGAGATTTGCATTTAACCTCTAGGATAAATTGCTTCTCAAACAACTAATTATAAAAAACCAACTTTATACTTGAATATTTTAAGAGTTAAGAACATTATTCAACACTACTGCCAGTTCACATACAAACCTGGGTGATAGGCAATAGCTAACTTGCTCCATCATCCTGAGAAACACTGTGCATAGAAATGAGACTCTCGCATTGTTCGTTGTCTTCTGGAACTCTTTATAAAACAAAACAAAAACCTTTAGAGATGAAACAGATCCTTGAAGATTAATAGCAGAGACAAGACAGGGCAAGATTTCCCAATAACTTGTCTTGGGTTCATTTTGAAGTATAAAAGTTTTTCTCCTGAAAAAGTACTTACAAGAAGAAAATTACAAGCAATGCTATCATATTTTCTTATGAATTATGTTTAAACCAATAAATATTTTCCATATTTAAATTCATTACAGCAAAATAACATATTAATCATTTAGGTCTTGACAGCAGAATAAAAATTTTTTAAAGTGATTATAAAGAAACTATCATTTCACCCATAAGCTGAGAAATTATTTTATTTTTATCTTGTATAGGATATAATAAATTATAACTCCTTCAATAGTCCTGCACAAAAGTCTCTAAAACATGAGGCAACAGGATACGATTTCCAGTTGGTTTAGCAACATTATTTTTAAAAACTCTATAAAGGAAAGCAACTTACCTCTGAATTCGATGTTTTCTGCATATAAATGCAAAAATTCTTCTGATTCCCACCATCACAGGATCCCAATTATTATAATGACATAGCAGAGTTACAATAAAAAATGAAAAAAATACAGGGACAGCACCTGCAAAAAATAACCAAGAAAACTGCACCTAAAACATAAAAGAAGAAGAAGAAAAAAAAAATCGGCATTTATATCCTAAGTAAAATTTCCCCTTTAAGATTTCCATTTGTTTTAAAAAATATGTTTTAAAAAAACATAATGAAAAATATGAGCATTTGCGATATATTAAGTATATTATTAAATATAAATATTCAGAACTATAATTTACAGTTAAATTCACTTGCATCAAATTAATAACAAATAATAATTCTTGCCTGGAGAATAGCCAAAAGTAAGAAGGCATGTTTTTTATTTGTTGAGTACAGTATACACCCAAGGACAGAAATATCCACTATAAAATTTAAGTTTTTATCTTACATTCTATTTCATTCATTTCTTCTTTACTGTTCATTGCTATCCCTCCCCCTCAGTTTCTGAAATCATCTTCAAAAATGAATTGATATTTTATAAAATTCTGTTATATAAATGAGAATCCTGGTGTGGTGCTATAGGATAAGCACTGGACTGCTAACCATAAAGTTGGCAGCTCAAACCCACCAGCTGCTCCTCAGAAGCCCATCATTTTAATAGAAATTATAATATTAAAACTATCTGTACTAATGTAAAAACAAAACAATACAAAGAAGTCTTCACTGACTAACGTACATTTAACATATTGGTGATTCACCTTATGAGAAAATAGAAACTCCTAACTTTAAAATGGAGAGTGTTGGTGGTGTTTTAGGATAATTATTGGACTACTAACCATAAGGTCAGCAGTTCAAACCTGCCAACAACTACTCGGGGAAAAAATGTGGCTTTCTGGTCCATAAACAGATTTACAGTCTTGGAAACCCTATACAGGATTGCTTTGAGTGAGAACTGACATCCACAATAACAGCAACGTCTTTAAAGTAAGAAAAGAAAATTGTGTTTACTCTCTGAGTCTTAAAAACAAAGATTTAGATTCCTAGGCCATGCTCCCTCTGGTGGAAAACATATACTACTTTATTTTGTAGCATGATTAGGGTAAGGGATTCTACAAAACAATGTCTTTTAAGAGGGACTCACCATGAGTAACTCAAGAATGACTCTGGCAACTTTTAATATGTCTTAAATGTCAAATACAAGGGTTAGTCAAAAGGTATTGTTACAAAATCATTGTTGTTGCTATTAAGTGCGGTCGAGTTGGTTCAGACTCAAAGCAACCCCATATAGGGTTTCTGAGGAGCAGCTGGTAAGTCTGAACCACTGATCTTGTGGTTCAAACGGACCTTGTGGTTCAGTACTTATTCTACAGCACCACACCAGGAATCCAACAAAACCACAGAAGCCTTTATTAAACAAAGACCTCCAAATGTGGAACTATTGCTTCTTCACACATCCTTCATCTAGGTTTACACACTGCTTCCATCTCTCTTGAACCCTTGCCTGAAGAATTCTGCTCTCTTCCATTTACACCATAAAATGGCAGTCTGCAAGGCACTCAAATCAGGTGCCTTTCAAAGGTTCTTTGAGTTTGAGGAACAAAAAGAAGTCTAAAGTGCCAGGATATTAAAGAGCAGGTGCTTTGTCATGGTAGAAAGTTTTCTGATGCAACTTCCCTGGCCTTTTTCTTACCAATGCAGTTATCAATTTTCTTAAAATTTTTTCATAATAAGCCCCTGGGATTGTCCTGTGTCCTTCAAGAAAATCTATCAACAGTAATCCTTTGCAAATCCAAAAATAGTTGCCATAACCTTCTGAGCTGACCTCTCCGTGAAAAATTTAACTGGATCAGTAGATCCCCTCAGAAACCACTATTTATATTGGATTTATTTTTGAAGGCATCTTAAAGAAACTAAGACAAATGTTCACGTATTACTGAGAGAACCTTCTACAGATATCCACTCACAGGTATGTTCAAACCTGTTTTGTTTGGAATAAACCCATGCATGTATGAACTGGAGCCCTAGTAGCAACACTTATGCCTTATTCTCATACACATACACACACTAGCCCAGGAACAAAGCACTCATTAAAAGAAAAAGAAAAGCCTTCATATAGTTATCAAATTATTGAAATACAATATACTTGGAATATTTGCCAGAATCTACAATCTACAAAAAAAAAAAGAGAAACCTTTAAATGAACAAAGACAAGAAAAAAACAGGGAAAACTTAACAAATGAGGTTTTACAATGTAGATGCAGTTAGAATTTTCTTTTCCAAAATTAAACTAAAAATCCTGTTTCATAAGCGAATAAAAGTGAACTTTAAAATATGTGACAGTGCAGCATATAGAAGTAGATAAAAGCTCTGGATGACTTTTAAAGGCAAAGTTCAGTTTTAACAATGTAGCAATTTATGTACTGCCATAATGTGTGGCACTGTGGGCTAATGTGGCAGGCTGCAAAGTCGTTCAAACTGCAAGGTCAGTGGTTCAAACTCACCCGTTGTTCCTTGGAAACCCTATACAGGGTCTCCATGGGTCAGAATCAACTCGACAGCACTTAACAACAACAAATAATAAACAGCTTATAACTTGCTTTCCAATCAACTAACAAGGCTATTTTTAAAAAGCAAGATATTTATAATAAAAGAAAATTGCCTAAATAAACAACAAAACCTAATTCTTGAATCTATGTGAATGTAAATCTGAATATCATCAGGGATTCATCATAATTGATGTCAATAAATGCTAAAATTTCAGAAACTATTTTCGGCTGTTAAGACCCTTGAAAGTGAAAAGTACTCCCATCATGTTTCTTTGAGTCCTTGAGGACACCTGCTACTTTTTCCAGGTGCCTCCCTCCCGCAGGCCCAGAGTACTAACAGGCAGCCTCGCTTTTCTTGTATAACTTGCCCTTATTTTAAAATATTTGAATAGATAAATCATACAACACAGAATAAAATTGAATCCCCTGTGATAATTCCTCTTTTAAAAAAATCCCTACAATTGACTTTTAATTTTCAAAAAATCTATGAAAGTTGATTTTTTAAATACCAGTATAGTAAAAGTGAATTTATATATCATTCTTCCAGAATTCTTAAATATGCACCTTCCCTAGAGCAATGGTCTTAAGATGTAGATAGGGACTACATATAATTTAAGTCTGTAACATAATCTAATGATGTGTACATTTCAATGTCGGGTATGTTCTACAATGTTCACATTCTTTAAAATGCATGGTATTTAATTCTCAGTTAAGAAGATCTTCATTTTTTAATCTTGATAGACAATTCACTGTACTATAAAACAAAGTTAAGTATCAGTACACCCACTGCCACGGAGTCAATTCCACCAGCTAGTGGCTTATATAGGGTTTTTGAGACTGCATGATCTAACAGAAGTAGACGGCCTGGTCTATCATCTGTGAAGCTGCTGGTGGGTTTAAATCACTGATTTTATGATTAGCAGTCCAGTGTTTATCCTACAGGACTACCAGGCTGCTCCTTGAAGTCTTTTAAATAAAGGTATAAATCCCAGAGAAAAACTGCACAAAGACCTAAAGAAAACTAGCTTTAAAAATCCAGTTCTAACTTCTCATATTGCAAACTTTGGGCTTTCAATATTTCCCTCTTCAAAGCAAAATGTATATATAAACAAATACACACACCTATCTGTTATTTAGTCCTTGGAATTAAAAGTTTGCAAATACTAAACTGAGTGATAAACAGCTGCTCTACACTTTTCAACATTAGTCAGTGGTGGATCTCTCTTTCTCCCTATCTCTGGAAACACAGAAGAAGATTTTCCTTCTAGACTGCTGCGAAGGACACCTCAGATTCTTTTTACTACCATGTTATTTATCACTACCAATATTGTCATAAGAATCCCTGCATCTGGACCAGAATTTCAAAGAGGAGAGGAGCACCTGCTGTGTCTGGACAGAAATAAGCATTCACTGAGAAACAACACAGCATTTGTAGTAATACAAGGGGCTTCAAAGTCCATGGGGAAAAAATGGAATGAAAAGATATGAGAAAAGTTCCACAAACTTTTTGAAATCCCTTATACAAGCATAGTATTAAGAAACCTTTGAAGTTAATCCTACAAAACAAAACAAAACATCACTGGGTTGCTAACTACATGCTCAGTGGTTCAAACCCACCAGCAGCTCCACAGAAGAAAGATGAAGCTATCTGCTCTCATAAAGATTTACAGTCTTGTAAACTCTGTATCGGGTTGCTATGTGACTTGGAAATGACTTGATGGCTTTTTCTTTTCTTTTTTTTTTAATTTTAAACATGCTGTATAAAACATATTACTATTCTGTATTACTGACTTAAAAACTGCATAACTACGGATAAATCCCTTAATTGATAAACTCAGAATAAAAGTTGAACAGCTAAATATTTAAGACATTATCAATTTCTTTGGTATTTTTTGTATCTATATGTAGTAAGACCTTGGGAAGAAGGCATAAATAAGTATGATGCATGGTCTTATCCCTCATTATTTAGCATATCCCTTACTGTTCATTAGCTATATTTTAACAGCATACCTAAAATATTTAATAAGGTGCTTGCCTTACCTTTTGCATACACATGTCAGCTATTATGGACAGAGGTATTGTGAGGCTTAGTGCAAGTGTGCCTATCAATGATGAGGTAAGAAAGCAGCCCCTGAGGAAAAAAAGAGAAAAGAAAGAAAATGCACATTTCCATATCCAAAAAATTAAAGGACCTAAAAAAAAGCCAACAAAACCCATCAAAGACTATACAATAATACATGTTTGATCAAGAGCAAAAAGAAAACCTTAGGATACATTGAAACATACCAAATAATATTTACCAAGATTCTATAAGCTTCTCTTCAAATATTAAAAATTCAAATATATAAATACAAATACAAAAAGTTCAAAGTACTTGATCCTGTTATCAAGATGTGCTGGCAAATTATATTCAACTTCAAGTGCATACATTTTATTTTATTAAAGTTTTATAAATACTGTCGAATAACATTCATAGAGCTTTGTGATAATGATAATTAGCCAACAAAGGAAACAGTTTCATTAAAATACAAGATAATAACAGATACGCGCTGTCAAGTTCAGACTCATAGCGACCCTGTATAGGGTTTCCAAGGAGCAACTGGTGGGTTTGAACTGCTGAACTTGTATTTCACAGTCCAATCCTGATCCTACAGTGCCACACCAGGAATCGAATAACAGCACAGCTTTGGTAGCGTAGTGGTTACGAATCGGGCTGCTAACCTCCAGGTCAGCAGTGAGAAACTACCAGCTGCTCCACGGGAGAAAGATGAGGCTTTCTGCTCCCGTAAAGATTTACAGCCTCGGAAACCCTGTACAGGGTTGCTATGAGTCAGAACCGACTCCACAGTACTTAAACAACAAGCCAACACGTGGTTCTACCACCAAAGCAAAAACATGTTACTCTCATCAAAATTAATAGTCTTTGTTTTTCCTTAGTTTAGTTTACTATGAGACAGAAAGAGCAACATTTTTAAGGGCTATTTCCTTGTTGTCTTCCATTTTTCTAGCAACTGTTCTAACTAAAAACTAAATTCTTCATTTTTATTTCATCTTTAACTATCAATGTTAGAATCAAAATTTGAACAATCAATCTGCATTTAATATTATTTAGCTTAAACTGAGGTAAAATGCATCAAATGGAAACAGAAAAGTCATTTTGAAAGTCTAATAATTTTGGTGTATAACATGAAAAAAAATTATAGCGCACAATAAAATCATAATGCATATAATTAGGACCACAAACCCATGGAAGCTAAAGGTAAGTAAATGCAGGCTCAGTATGTGTTAGGATTGATAATGCTGCCCTTGCAATAAAAGGGACTCTCTCCATGTGTTCCTAGACATTTCCAACAGAATACTATAACAAAAGTGTAAGCTATATAGAGATATATTTCTTATATCTGTTTGAGTTATCAACACTATCTAGAATTTGAGGTGGCTATTGTTTGTTACGTGCTGTCACGTTGGTTTGATCTATAGCAACCCTGTATAGGGTTCCGAGGAGCCACTGGCAAACTGGAACTGCTGAGCTCATAGTTCAAATGACTTTGCAGTCCAGCGCATTAACCCACAGCTTAATTTGATTAACTTAACTGGTAATGAGTTAATGGGAGTCCCTGGATGTCAAGACATTTACGTTTTCAACTACTTGTCAAAAAGTTTACCAGTTTAAACTCATCCAGAGGAGACTCAGAAGAAAGGCCTGGTGATCTGGCTCAGAAAGGCCATGATGTGTGCAACAGTTCTATTATGGAACAGTTCTACTCTGTACATATGTGGTCACTAGAAGTCAGAATCAACTTGACAGCAAATATCAAAAAGCACTCTTAAAGGCAAGAGTACAGGAATATTGGAAAAATCCAGCTTTGCAAGGTCCTGAAAAATCTATCCTAGTACGGATAAAGCTATGACCATAACCTATACAGGGTTGCTATGGGTCGGAATCAACTCGACGGCACTTGACAACAACAACATGACCATAAAGTATGGCTTTGAGCATCCAAATTTAACTATTTAACAGTGGACATACTTATATACAGTTGGAAATATAAACTATGCTGCTTCTCTTAAGAATAATTCTGCAATTATCTACCAAATTTTAAAGGCCACTATGTCCCCAACAAGATGGACTGGCCCAGTGGCAGCAGCAATGGATTTAAGCAAAGACTGTGATTTTAATGCAGGACCAGGCAGTGTTTCGTTCTGCTGTGCATAGGGTCACTACTGACTCGACAGCACCTACCAACAACATGTCTTGACTCAGTCTTTCTCACTTAGAGGTATTTATCATATACCTACATTATGTAAGAATACTTGTATAATATGCAAACACATATAGGAGAATGTCCAGTGAAATATTATACAAAGTAAAAGATTGCTGAGTTGCTGTTCAATGCTGTCAAGTAGGTTCCGACTCAAAGCAACCCTGTATAGGGTTTCAGGAAAAGGCTGGTACTTTGAGCCACTGACCTTGCAGTTAGCAGTCCAGTGCTTATCCTATAGTGCCAGACTAAGACACCAAGCAAAAGACTGCAGCTGTTGTTAAGCGTCGTAGAGTCGGTTCTGACTCATAGTGACCCCATATAGGGTTTCCTAGGAATAACTGGTGGGTTTGAACCACTGACCCTGAGGTTAGTAGTAAAGTGCTTATCCTACAGTGCGACACTAGCAAAAGAGTAGAAACTTAGAATGTGTAGCAATAAAAAAAAAGTTGTTAAACATGTCCATTTTTACATAATGGACAGGAATAGTATGTAGCCGTTCAAAAAAAAAAAATTAATGGAGTTACATACTTTGGTAGCTACAAAAACTGTTTAGATGCCTTAGAAGTTAATAGTAGTTGCTTCTGGTTAAAATGAATAGAAAATTTGGGGTAGAAAGATTTCCCTGTCTTATAAATCCTTTGGACACTTTTATATGTATTATTCTTTTAATTATATACATACATACACACATATTTGTTGTTGTTAAGTGCCACTGAGTTGGATCTGACCTATAGTGACTCTATATAAGATTTCCTAAGAGTGAATAGTGTGAGCTTGAATCATCAAACCTTGTGGTTCAAACTGACTTTGCAGTCCAGCAAATTAGCCTGCAATACCATCCAGGACTCCATATATATATGTATAAATGCATATATATATATATATACAGACACACACACATATATATATTGTTGTTGTTGTTAAGTGCTATCAAGTCAATTCCGACCCATAGCGACCCTGTATAGGGTTTCCAAGGAGCAGCTGGTGAGCTTGAACCACTGACTTTGCAGTTCAAACGTCTTTGCAGTCTGAAACATTAGTCCACAGCACCACACCAGGAATATATATATATATTGTTGTTGTGATGTGTCATGGAGTCAGTTCCGACTCATAGTGACCCTGTACAGGGTTTCCCAGCCTATAAATCTTTACGGGAGCAGAAAGCCTCATCTTTCTCCCGCAGAACAGCTGGTAGTTTCAAATTGCTGACCTGTGGTTTGCAGGCCGATTCATAACCACTACGCTACCAGCTCTTGCGCGCTCTCGCGCTCGCTCTCTCTCCTCTCCCTCTCTCTCTCTATATATATATTACTCCTTGGAAACCCTTCACAGGTTCTTAATGGATCACAGGCAACTCAATGGCACTTAAAACAGCATATACATATAAACAGGAGTCCTTGTGTGGTGCTGTGGGCTAATGCACTGGACTGCAATGTTGCTTTGAGCCACAAAGACAACAGTTTAAGCTCACCAGCCGCTCCTTGGAAACCCTATATAGGGTTGCTATGGGTCGGAACTAACTCGACGGCACTTAATAGCAACAACAATAATATGTAAACAGTACTGGTGTGGAGCTCTAGGATAAGACCTGAACTGCTCTACCCAAAAGGTCAGTGATTCAAACCCACCAGATGATCCTCAGAAATCCTATACATGGTCACTGTGAATCAGAACCAACTCCGTGGTACTTAACAATAACAATTCTTTTAATTAAAAAAAATGTTAAATAGCACAAAATATATCAAAACACCATTATATCATTGCTTTGGGAGTATACATTTTATAAGGAGTAAACTTAAAAATCTCATATAACAGAGATATTAGTTATATAGCAAACTTATATTCGATATTCTCCAAAATTGTATATTAAATTCTGCTGAAAACAGAGAAATTCTATAACATCTGCATATTAAAAATAAAGATGTTTATAAAAATTAGAATATTAATATTTGTAGATAAAGTACTCAACATACACAGTGATTTTCAATGTAATAAGGACCATACCAAACCCTTCTCTAGTCTAATATCCAAAGAGAAATTGAATTTCTTTTAAATATGTAATAATTCCTTACTTTGAAATACCCTAATTTTAACTGAACTGAGAAAACTAGAGAAGATGATCTCATATTAAAACAGTGTTGTTAAATGTCACCAAGTTGATTCTAAATCATAGCAATCCTAAATAGTGTTTCTGAGGAGTTGCTGGTGGGTTTGAACTGCTGAACTTGTATTTCGCAGTCCACTGCTGATCCTACAGTGCAACAACAGGAGCCCAGAATCCATTGAGTGCATAATTATTTTAAATCAGCCACGTATAGGATTTGTTGTTGTTGTTGTTAAGTGCCATCGAGTGGGTTCTGACCCATAGTGACCCTGTATAGTTTCCAAAGAGCAGCTGGTAAGTTTGAACCTCTGACCTTGTAGTTCAAACTGACTTTGCAGTCTAGTGCACTAACCCACAGTGCCACACCAGGACTCTAGAAAATCACCATAAAAATGGCTGAAAATCAACAGTTTCTCATGGACCAACCAAGTTTAATCAAAACACCTGAGCTCCTACCAGGTAATTAGTTACTGTTGAACCAAGAATGGAGAGAGGCAAGAAAAATCAAATCACAAGAGAACAAAAGGGTATATCATATATATTAATACATGAAATATAATATTCAATTGCCTTTTTGGTTAAAAAAATTGAGCACCTACAAATGTACCTAATGAAAGATATAAAAATGAATACAACAATGGATTCTGATATCAAAGTTTTAGTTTAACAAAAGAATTTAAAAATCTATAAAATATCTACAACAGATAAACAGGTAAGTAGTTCACAAAAAGGAGAATATGATTAAAAGGAAAATATGAGGAGGAAATTCAGAAAAGAAAGGTATTTCCTTGACTGGGGATGGGGACAAGTGTGGCAGAATTTTGAGAAGTTCTGGAAGACTTTATAAGAAAGCTATTTTGTATCAGTCTTTTGTAAGAGAAAATTCCACAACCACCTTAATTGGTATGTAACGAAGCTCACTCAAGAGTTTAAGTACAATGTGTTTTTCTTTTTCAGTTTCCATTACTTGGAATGAGATTAAGTAGTATAAACAAATCGAATAGTAAAAAGCTGTATAGGTGCAAAGTTTCTACCTCTATACATGATAGTCCCATTCAAACTATTTTAAGGATCTTATCAGTCATTCGAAAACTGTACTAACTAACATTTCAAGTTAATCAGAACCTATACTGCTTGCTCACCCTATGAAAGGTATTGAGAATAAAGAAAACAAGCCTCTGAGCCACACAGGTATCTCAGAGTCCAGACTACTCAGCAATGTCACCAGGTTCTCAAAGAGAACCATGCATTCATGGCTGGGATACATATCTAGTACCTTTGGGTGTCCATTAGATAATGACTACTCTTTCATTTGCATAACACTCCACCTTCTAAAACACTAACACATTTATATCATTCACAATTATTCATTCACTTAAGTATTTATTGAGTTCCTATGTATGAGGCATTATTCTATACAATGGACACACAGAAGTTAAAAATCAAAGCAAAACAAACATACAAGCAAATAAAAGCAAGCCAAATTTCCACTCTAATGGTGCTGATACTAATTTATAAGAGTGTAGGGCAGAAGGTATACAGGAGGAGTCATCAGAAGACAGAAGAAATCTAAATGCATACACTATTCAAAAGCCCATAAACTAAAAGGAATAAATCATAGGACAATAAACAGTACATACCACAACCACAGGAACTCGGAGAGAACTGTTCCAATGAGGCCATTAATGATAATGCACATTAATACTACTTTGTTGGGAAACTCAAAGTCCTCAAATCCAGTATAATGAAGCAAAAAGAAACCTGGCCATAAGAGCAGCAGATTAAACAGACCTACAAAACCTAAATATATATAAAAGAAAAGGAAAATGATTAGTAATTATGATTTCAATTTCCCAAACTTATAATATTTCTATAATGAGAAAACATTCCATTTTGCACAGAAAGCAACATGTTCCCTTAATAGGAATTTCTTTGTTTTTAAGTTAGTTCCATAAATAACTCAACATTAAAAACAAAAAAACTATATTAAACTACTGGTGAAACCCAAATATTTGAGGTTCAACTATTCACATTGTATAGAGCAAATGCTGTGGAATAACCCACTCAAAATAATTCAAAAAGAAGGGTTGATTAACTTTAGCTATTAATAATATAATGTTCTAGAACTTAAAAGACATCTTTGTATGTTGCATCTGGCCTAAATTAATTATGAGAAAATGGAAAGTTTGTTCTCTTATTCATGGAGGAAGAGTAAGTGAAAGAAGACAAAATTCTTGGTTACTGCCTTCACAAAACATATAAACTAGCATGAAATACAGACTGACTACTTATAAATGAAGGCTGCAAAGTAGAATGATTAAAACTGCTTCGCATTCTGACAATCCTGGCTCTACTATTTGCCAGTGGTGTGATCTCAGGGAAGGTACAGCACTCTAAACTTTTACACTTCAATTTTCCAATCTATAAATATTAAATAATATTTACAAAGTTAGACAAAACATTTATCTTATGGAACACAGTGCCTGACACAAAGCAAGAAACATTAGCTATTATTACTGTATTTACGCATTATTGTAAGTTTATATATGCCTAGATACACGTGACTGTAAAGATGAAACAAAAGTGATATATTTTGCAGCAATTTCTAATGTACTTTGTATACAATTTAATATTACAGTCTGCTCTGAGATTCATGAAGTAACACGAAGGTAAGTCAAAAAATATTGCTACAAAATCACAGGCACCTTAAACAAAAATATCAAAATGTGAAACTACTGTTTCCTAACATAGCCTCCGTCTAGGTCTATATACTTCTGAGGGGGGTGTTTCCATATCTCTCTAACCCCTCCCTGAAGAATTTTTCATTCTTGGAATCTTATCATGTCAAAACAGCAGTTTTGGCATCCTCATCGGACTCAAACTATATTTCTTTTAAATGTTAAGTTTGGGGAACAGAAAGAAGTCTAAAGGGAAAAGATCAGGGATTTGGGGTATATTGGGTAGAGTTTCACAACAAAATTCTCAAAGAGCAGCCCTTGTTAACCTTGATGAATGAGCAGGTACATTACTGTGATGAAAAAATTTCCTCAGCACAAATTTCCTGGCCTTTTTTTCACTGATGCATTTGTCTGTTTTCTTAAAAATTCTTAGTAAGTCTCCATGATAGTCGTTGAGTCCTTTGAGAAAATCTACCAAATTACCTCACGGGAATAGCCAAAAAACAATCGCCATAACCTTTTGAACTGACCTCTCTGTTTTGAATTTAACTGGCCCCACAGACTCCCTTGGAAGTCATTGTGTTGACTGGACCCTTTTTTGGAAAGCACCTTAACATGACTGAGACAAGTGTATTGCTGAGAGAACTTGTCTGCAGTTATCCACTAATCACAAAGGCATGTTTAAACACATTTTGTTTGGAATAAACCTGTGCATGGAGTCTTGGTGTAGTGCTGCAAGAAAATACACTGGGCCACAAGATCTGTTTGGGCCACAAGGTTGGCGATTAAAATCTACCAGCTGTTCCTAGGAAACCCTATATAGGGTTACTATGAGTCAGAACTGACTCCAAGGCACTTAACAATAACAACAATGTATGAACTGGAAGCTTCTGACTTTCCCTCTTATAGAGCTTTCGTAAAATAAAAAAAAATAAAAATTATAGTAAATATATTTTATATTTTATATGCCATGTTAAGAGTACCACAGACTGCCAGAAAAGCACACAAATCTGTTTTGGAAGCAGTGCAGCCAGAATGCTCCTTAAAAGCCAGGATGATGAGACACTGTCATACTTTGGACATGTTATCAAGAGAGACCAGTCCCTGGAGAAGAACATCATGCTCAGTAAAGTAGAGGATCAGTGAAAAAGAGGAAGACCCCCAAGGAAATGATACAGTGGTAGCAACAGTGGGCTTAAACATAACAATTGTGAGAATGGTACAGGCTCACTATGAGTGAGAACAAACTCAATGGCACCTAACAACAATGTCATCTACGTAATAAACTAGAATTTAGAGTGTTTAGTTAATTCCTAAATGACTGCAGCACTGTCTCATCATCTGTGTGAAGACCCACAGCTCCTCCTCCTTAGTGAGCAAACAAGTTGCAGGAAGTTCCCACTTCACACCCTCTACAGCAATGACTAACGGGGCAATTACAAGGTTGGCTGTCATGACCAAAAGCTAAGACCAGTATGAGGAGTGCACAGACACACACTATCCCCAAATGCCATGAATTAGGCTGCACCTCGCGTTTACCTGAGACCACACTATCCTTCCCTTTGTCTACCCAGCTTTCCTCGATATTACAATCCTAACTTCTTATCCAAGTCCTGTCCACTATATAGCCCAGGTCAAAACTGGGTTTACTTTATGTATCATGGAATAGGTGAACTGGATCAATATGAGAGAGGTGCACACTCTCATAAGAGTAAATTAAGCCACTGTTTTTAAAGTTTCAATAATAAAAACTGATAAGAGAATCTACAGGACAGAGTAGAACTACCCCCAAGGTGTTTCCAAGGTTGTTATCCAAGTCAAGGTCAGATCTTTCTCCCAAGGAATTGCTGATGGGTTTGAATTCTGACCTTTCGGTTAGCATTCAAAAGGATGGCAGCAAGTTTATGTTTAAGATTTTTTAAAAAGTGTCAATGTCCCATTTAAGCATATATGCTAAGAGTATGAAAAGATACTAGCATTTCATGTCACCCCAGGTGAAATGTTCTATAGCTCTACAATATCATTAAAAGCATCATTCTAGAAAGAGATTTACTCAACTCTTTACTTGTATGGAAGGAGCTCTGGTAGTGTAGTGGCTACAAGTTCAACTGCTAGCCTCGTGGTCAGCAGTTCGAAACTACCAGCTGTTCCACAGGAGAGCGAGGAGACTTTCTGCTTCCGTAAAGATTTACAGACTCAGAAACCCTGTACAGGGTCACTATGAGTTGCTGTGAGTCAGAACTGACTCTAGAGCACACAACCACTACCATCACCACCATACTTTTATGAGGGCACTGGTGTGGTGCTTTGGGTTAATGCGCTGGACCACAAGGTCAGTTTGAACCACAAGGTCAGCAGTTCAAGCTCACCAGCTGTTACTCAGAAACCCTATACAGGGTTGCTATGGGTCAGAACCAACTCGACAGCACTTAACAACATACTTGTATGATCACCCACTCTGGAAATTCTATAAATGCTTCATTTTCATTCATCTTAAGGTGAAGGTATTCAAGCTATTTTTAGCAGCAATTCTGTTCCAGCTGAATCAGCAAAGACATCCCAAGAACCAAGCTCACATATGCAACCCCATCTCCTCCCAAGCCTCCTGGAGGCCTTTATAAATCAGTTTGGAAGCTCCTTATCTATACAACTTTTTTTACTTTCCACAGAGAATAAGATAAATGAAGTCACAAGTTAGAATTCAGGTCTTCTGACTCACTGTAAACTGAATTCTGAACTCATCATCAGATATTCAAATATCTTATCTCCAGATATTCAAATAACTTTATTAAGGTATCTTACAAAATCAAGTATGTTCTTCCCTTACAATCCTACAATATCTCAAATTCTTTAATGAGCTGATTTTAAGCAAAGGAGAATTTAAAACACATTAAGTATCTCCTTGGATACAGACAGGGACGCTATGGGTCAGAATTGACTCAACTTGACAACACAAACAGGTATTTTATTTGCCAAAATCTAAGAACTGATGCCAGAACCTATAATTCAGTATACTGCAAGTCTAAGTCAGGAAAAAATCTGAATCTTAAAAATAAAATATGCAAATAGGAAAACGATGAACAGCTCCACAACCTTCAATGTTAAAAAATAGGCCCATGAAAAAAAGAAAAAAGCATACAGACCAGTTTACAAACACACAGGCTCATGGGAAAACTGTAATATCTTTTAATTCCTTTTCTCCATGAATCTTTTGTGTCATCGAGTTACAAGTTAAGTGCCATCGAGTGGAGCGGGTTCCAACTTGTAGTGATCCTTTACAAGGTTCCTGATGAGCTGTTGAGTCAGTTAAGTCAGTTCCAACCTATAGCGACATTATACAGGGTTTCTGAGGAGCAGATAGTGGGTTGAAGCACCAATATTGTGGTTCAAATTGACCCTGCAGTCCAGTACTTACCCTAGAGAACCACATCAAGACTCAACATAGTGGTGGTCTTGCAGGCTACCACGTCGGTTCTGATTCAAAGCAACCCTGTATAGGGGTTCCAAGGCTGTAAATCTTCAAGGGAGGAGAAAGCCTCCTCTTTCTTCCACGGAACTGCTGGTAGTTTCGAACAACTGACCTTGCGGTTCACACCAACCTTGTGGTCTAGCGCATATAGTATGTGTGTAATAGGGAACACAGTGGCTCTATAGGATAAACACTGGACTGAAAACCACAAAGTCAGTAGTTCACACCCACCAGTTGCTCTGTAAGAGAAGACGCTGTAAGAGAAAGACGAGGTTTTTCTGCTTCTGCAAAGATTTACAGCCTGGAAAGCCCTATACAGAGTCACTACAAGTGGAAATCAACTCAACAGCACTTAACAACAAAAACAATCCAAATAATTTGGAGGCGGTTTCAGATAGGAGCCCTGGTGGCACAGTAGGTTAAGTGTTCAAACCTACCAGATGCTCCAAGGGAGAAAAATGAGGCTTTGTTTCCATATAGATGTATAGCTTTGTAGCCCCTATGGAGGAGTTCCACACTGTCCTGTAGGGTGACCTGATGACAGTGGGTTATGCTTCAAACAATTCAAAACATGACAAACTGTAGTAGGGCAATTATTCTCTCACATGCTAATAATAGCAGACTTCTGTCATGTCAATGACAAATACCTGACTCATGATTTGAAAATACTGCTGCAAAAAAGCTGTTAGGAGCTTCTTTCTCAAATTCACACTGGGGGATGGGCATTCTTTCAAAGGAACTGCATACGCAGGGCAGGGAAAGAAAGAAGTATAGAAACTAGACTTCAAGTCTTTAAAGGTTTATTTCAGCCCTAAACTCCTATTTTTTTTAAAAAAAAGAATCATAATGGGGAGCAAAAGACTTTGCTCATCCTCCCCAAATCAAACAGAAAAGACTAGGTTAATCATTCAGAGTGAACAGCCTTACAAGTTAAACATATTCTTACCAAAGAACATTGGAATGTCCAACTTATCTTCTCTGTCTACTTTTCTCTTGATCATAACAATATAGACAGCATACAGCATGGCTCCCACAAGAGACCAAATGGAACCTAAAAGTCAAAATTATGATTTAAAGAATTTCATTCACTAGCTCATTCAACATACACTCATTTTAAATCTAATTATGCAACAGATACTATTCTAAGCAGTGCATATACAAAAATAGAAAGGGTAAGATATAATCCACCCCATCTATGTTCTCCAGGAATATAGGGAGGCATTTAATGCATATACAAATAAATGCAAAAACAGTCACCTCAACGCTCTAGCCAAATGCTCATGTATCACATATATGTGTAAGACAGGTTTTTAAATTTTTGAAAGTATACTTCCTATTTTTCCCTACAAACACAATTTTGATACTTGACACTGCAACTTTACAATTCTTCCTTCCATCTCTAAATATTGTTTATATAGTTCCCCCCAACCCCTGGACAGTGACACTCTCTATATATCATGTCTTTATATATATTTCACCATTATCATTCAAATTTTTAAGCTCTGTTAAAGTCCCACTTGCAATGCTGAAAGTCTGTCTTCACTTGTCTTCTCTTTTAGACAATATCATCACTACTACAGTTACATACACTATTATTTTATCCTCCAGTTGCGCACTTTGTAAACTTCATATACTGAATAAAATTATAAACATAAAGCTTTAAACACAAAATTTATACTTTCTAATGTGGCACTGAGGGTTAATGCAAGAGTGTTTTTAACTGCAAAGTCAGCAGTTCAAGCTCACCAGTTGCTCTTCGAAACTCTATAAAGCGTAGCTATGAGTTGGAACTGACTCGAAAGCACTTAACAACAACATGTTCAACAATATCTAACATAATTCTGGGTTCACAGTATATGAATAACAAGAACTAGCTCTCTTTAGTTCACCATTGTTTCCTCTCAAAAAAAATTTAAAACAACTAAATACATTTTTAGGACCGTATCATACTACTGTGTATGATACAGTAATGGTGGATACAGATACTATGCTTTTGACAAAACTGTACACAGAAGTGTACTATAATGTAAATACAGACTTTAGTTAATATCGTATCAAAACTGGTTCAACACTTATAACAAATAATGTCACACTAATACAAGTTGCTATCAAAAAAATTGGGAGTGGGTATGTAAGTATGTATAGGTGGAGACGGGAGAAGTTATAGATATAGAAGTTCTCTATGCTTCATTGCAAATCTTCTGCAAATCTAAAATTGTTCTAAAAGATAAAAGCAAACAATATGTTGTCTTCTAATTGACCATATTTAATGCTTTAATCAGTTAGGCATATGACCAATGTTTTACTAAATCAGATTTATTACTTTAAACTTAGAAAAAAAAACCAAAAACGGGGGAACCTCACCTGCATACACAAATATATACACAAAGCTGCTCTGGTGGAGAAAGTGGTATGGTAGTTCAAGGCATAGCTCACTAGGCAACAATTAGGAATAGCTTAGAAGAAAATGTTCTATTTAATAAATTTCAAGTATCTAAAGGAATTATCCAGAGGGAAATCATTAAGCTGGACTCCAATTAGCTTTGTTTTCGTTAAATCCAAAAACTAGGTGCTCACATCAGTGTTAAATATTTCAGGCACATAGCAACAGTAATGTTAAAATGGTGACTAAAAGTATGATAAAAATAGGTGACATCAAGTTGGTTCTGATCTATAGCAACCCTGTACAGGGTTTCTGAGGAACAGCTGGTGACCTTGAACTGCCCACCTTGGAATACAAACTGACTTTGCAGTCTAGCATGTAACCCACAGAGCCATTATGAATAAAATATTCACTACTTAGAGAAAAATTCGTAACACTACACAGGAGAATCCTGGCAGACCACGTTCACCAAGTGATAATGTTAACATCACTAGTAATATTACAAATCAACATTATGCACTTTCTAATATACTGACCAAGACTTCTATGTTATTCTTACTGAAAAATGTATAACTTGAATTTAATAAGGAAATATCAAATAGGCCCAAATTGAGAGCCATTCTACAAAAAAACTGGACAGTATTTGAAAACCGTCAAGGTCATAAAACTTTAAAAAATAAAAACTGAAGAACAGTTCCACATGGAAAGAAACTAAAGACACATGACAACTAAATATAAGTGATACTGAACCAGAAACAGAATACTAGAGGGAAAATGGTAAAATCTGAGAAGGGTCTACAGATTACACAATGTTGTTGTTATTGTTGTTAGGTGCCATTGAGTTGGCACCCATTCATAGCAATACTATGTACAACAGAACGAAACACCGTCCAGTCCTGGGCCAGTCTCATAATTGTTGCCATGCTTGAGGCCACTGATGCTGCCACTTTGCCAATCCATCTCACTGGGGGTCTTCCTCTTTTTCTCTGGTCCTCCACCTTACCAAACATGATATCCTTCTCCAGTGACTGGTCCCTCCTCACAATATGTCCGATTTATAAGAGACAAAGTTTGGCCATCCTGACCTCCAAGAAGCACTCTGGATGCACTTCTTCCAACAGAGATCTGTTTGTTCTTTTGGCAGCCCATGGTACTTTGAATATTCTCCTCCAACACCATAACTCAAATGCATAAATTCTCCTATGATCTTCCTTATTCACTGTCCAACTTTGCATGCATATGAGGTTACAGAAACTACCTTCGCTTGGGTCAGGCGCACCTTAGTCCTCAAGCTGACATCTTTGCTCTTCAACACTATAAAAAGGTCTTGTGCAGCAGATTTGCCTAATGCAATACGTCGTTTGATTTCTTGACTGTTGCTTCCATGAGTGTTGATAGTTGATCCAAGAAAAATAAGCCCTTGACAACTTCAATCTTTTCTCCATTGCTAAGAATGTTGTTTATTGGTCCAGTGGTGAGGAATTTTGTTTTCTTTACATTGAAATGAAATCCATATTGAAGGCTATGGTCTCTACTGTTCTCTTCATCAGTAAGCATTTAAGTTCTCACATTCAGCAAGCAAGGTTGTATCATCTGCATATCGCAGGTTGTTAATGAGCCTTCCTCCAATCCTGATGCCATGTTTTGTTTTTTTTTCCCATACAACCCAGCTTCTAGGATTACTTGCTCACCATACAGGTTGAATAAGTATGGTGAAAGAATACAACCCTGTTGGCACACCTTTCTTAATTTTAAATCATTAAGTGTTCCCATGTTCTGTTCAAACAACTGCTTCTATTTACACTTTCCTCATGAGCACAATTAAGTGTTCCAGAATACTCACACTTCACAATGTTGTCCATAGCTTGTCATGATTCACAAAACCGAAGGCCTTTGTGTGGTCAATAAAGCACAAGTGAAAATCTTTCTGATATTCTCTGCTTTCAGCCAAGATCAATCGGACATCAGCTATGATATCCCTTGTTTCACGGCCTCTTCTAAATCTGGCTAGAACCTCTGGAAGTTCTCTGTCTCTATGGTTGCAACCATTTATTTGCATGGGATATCAAAGTTATTGTCCGATGATTTCCACATTCCATTGGGTCACCTCTGTTTGGAATGAGCACAAATACGGATCTCTTCCAATCAGTTGGCCAGATAGTTGTGTCCCAAATTTCTTGGCATAGATGAGTGAATGAATGCCTCTAGTGCCACCTCACTTTGTTGAAAGATTTCAACTTTATTCCATCAACTCCTGGTGCCTTGTTCTTTGCCAATTCCTTCAATGCACCTTGGACTTCTTCCTTCAGTATCACTGGCTCTTGATCCTATGCTACCTCTTGAGACGGTTGAACATTGACCATTTCCTTTTGGTACAGTGACTCTGTGTATTCCATCTTTTTTTTTTTTTAAGGTTTTTATTGTGAGTTGAGTGAAAGTTTAAAGGGCTGATAATCAGTTTTATATTTAACAAATCGTACATCTTGTTTCATTACAATGATTATAATCCCCTCCAAGTACCATCAGTTAATAGTGTTTCTCTCTATTCACTTTAGCTCTTAAAAAAAAAACAAAAAAACACTCAGACATAATATATAATAATTACACCACCAAAGGGCACATTCTGCAAGTCTGCCTCCTGGTTGCCAGCTATTAGTCCCTGTCTTCCCATGAATCTAGAGTCCTCAGCTGCTCCTTCTCTCCATGTCCCCATCTCTGCTTCCATCTCTGGTGTGACTGCTTCTCTGGATAAGATCTTGCATTCCATTTGTGCTCTTCTCCCTTGATGGCCCTAGGGTCCTTTGTTTCTAGACTGTACAGTTAACTACTCCCCTGTTTTTGTTACAAAACTTCTACTTTTACAATTGTGACAGTCGCAATTAGTTATGGTAACAATTACTCACTATTGAATCATAAGAATCTTATCCCCATCTCTTTTAAACAGACCTATCTGCCATTCTTTTTCCATGAAGACTCAGACTTGGGAATCCTATGGCTTACCTATAGGACTATGAGTCTGAACCAAGTAGAAAGGAGTGGGTTTTATTTTCAGTATCTCTTGGCTCCTAATGTTAGATATTCCAACCGTTCACTCATTCTGGTTCTTTTCCTTCTCTTTGGTACAGAATACAAGGGCTCCAGGACCCTAATATTGCATTCTTTTTTTTTTCTTTAATGTTTTATTGTGAATTATGTGATAGTTTACATGGGAGAACATTCGCTTTACATTCATCCTATCGTATGTCATTTCATTGCCATGGTTACAATCCCCTCCATGCATCAACAACCAACCAAACGGTATACCCTGCAAGCCTGCCCCCTGGTCGTCAGCACACAGCCCTTCTCCCTCTCTGGGTCTAGAGTATACAGCCACTCCATCTCTCCATATCATCATCTCTGCCTCCATCTCTGGCATCACTGTTTGTCTTGGTAGGGTCCCGCACTCCACTCTTCTCCCTTGATGGTCCTAGGGACCTCTGCTCCTGGACTGCAAAGTTAACCAATACCCTCCTTTTGCTTTAAAAGGAGGGTACATTTCTAACCCTCACAGTCAGTCCTGATAACAATTATTCACTATTGTGCCACATGAGTGATAGCCCCATCTCCTTTCATCAGCCCCACCCAGTCAGATTGAATACTACTCAGTGGAGATTCTACCTTCCTCCACACCCTCTAGATCTAGGTTCCCTCTTGAAAGCTTGTAAGCCAGTCACTTCTTGCCTTTGTAGCCCCCCATTTTGGGTAGCCAATGTTCCAGTTGCCCATCCCTGTCTACCTTGTGTATGGAGGGGGTGGGAATCATCCTCACTGTAAAGATTTGTTCCCTCTTTTGAGCTACTGCATCTATAGGTGTAAGTCAAGTTCATCAAACTTTATCAGGTTACTCTTTTTCCTTCCATCTTCTTTTGATGCTTTCCGCATCATTCAATAATTTTCCCACAGCATCCATGAATAACGAAAGTCAAGGCTTAAATTTTTTCTTCAGTCAAATTCCAGTCCATTTCAGTTCAATAATGCCTACAATACCGATGTTTATGTGTTCCATTTCATTTCTGACAATTTCTAATTTTCCTAGATTCATACTTAATACATTCCATGTTCCGATCATTAATGGATGTTTACAACAGTTTCTCTTCATTTTGCATTGTGCCCCATCAACAAATAAAGGTCCCAAGGGCTGTATTCCCATGGGCTTTACTCCATTCACTTCAAGGTCAACTCTACCTTGAGAAGGCAGCTCTTCCCCAGTCACATTTTAAGTTCCTTCCTACCTGAGGGGCGTATTTTCCAGCACTATATCTGTTTCTCTGCTATTCATAAGGTTTTCAATGACTAAATATTTGGAAGTTGTTCATCTCTCTTTTGTAGTCTGTCTTTGTCTGGAAGCTCATCTAAAACCTGTCCACCGTGGGTGACCCTGCTGGTATTTAAAATACCCGTGGCATAGCTTCCAGACTCATAGCAACTCACAAGCCACCACAGTATGACAGACAGCTGAGTGGTGGAGACTACACAATGGTATTGTATATATTTTAACTCCTGGAGTCTTTGTGTGATACTGTAGGATAAGCACTGGCTGTTAAACGCAAGTTAACAGTTCAAATCCACTGGTAGCTCCTCAGAAATCTTATATAGCAGGGGTGGGGAACCTTTTTTCTGGATATTTAAAACATTATTCATAGACCATACAAAGTTATCAACTTAAAACTTAGCCTGCTATAATGTGATGGGTAGAACTGTGATTGCCTTGGCAGGGCCAGATCAAAGATGTCACAGGCTTTATTACAGTACTTTGGCCAGAAGTTCCCCACTCCTGTTATATAAGGTCACTATGATTAGGAACTGACTTGTCAGCAAACAACAAAAACATTGCAGTTGGGAGTCCTGATGTGGCACTATACAATAAGCACTGAACCATTAACTGCAAAATTAATGGTTCACACTCACCAGCCACTCCTTGGTAACACTACACAGGGTCACTATGAGTTAGAACTGACTTGATGGCTCTTAACAATACTATAGTTATGAAAGATGCTAACATTTGGAAAATCTAGAAGAAGGCTATATGGGAATTTTATTTAAAAATTTTAATTTTTTTCTATAATACAACAGAGAGGATAAAAATATTCTGCTAGTTTGTTAAGGAGTGTAGTGGCTCCATACAATAAGCACTGGACTGCAAACAAGGTCCACAGTTGAAGCCTGCCAGTCACTCTACCAGGCTTTCTGATCCTGTAAAGATTTAAAGCTTCAAAAATCCTATACAGAGCTGATAAGAGTCCCAAACAGACTCAATGGCACTTAACAACTATCTGTTAAAGTTGACCCTGGTTTGCCCTGTGGGGAGGGCTGAGTGAGTACTGGACAGGGGTGGGGGTGAGGAGGAATGGGTGCATACACGATGGTTCCCCTGCCCTTTAAGCTGGGCTTCGAGACGTTCCCAACCATTCTGTCATGGCCAATGAAGTGAAACAGGAACAGATGAGGATTTTTACAATTTGGGTGATTTGTTATGGTAACCAGAAATGGAAAAATTATAGGTGTTTAGCCCTGGAATGTACCGTAGTAGTTGAAAGTTGGACTGCTAGCCTAAAGGTCAGCAGTTCAAAACTACCAACCATTCCACAGGAGAACAATGAGGCTTTTTGTTCCTGTAAAGATTTCCAGCCTCGGAAACCCTACACAGGGTGGCTAAGAGTCAGAGTGGACTCCAAGGCACACCACACTTGGAATGTGAGTATTGGAAGAGGCCAGTGAAAGAGCTGGGGAAGCCACAGGCATTCAAAGCAGTGTGGTTTGTTCTGTATTTTTGAGCAGGCAGTGAACACAAACCAATTTCAACTGTGTTCACCAGTTTGAAGCCTGCTTCATGGTTATGCAAATTGCCCTCACTCTAAAATGATTGAACCAATCCCTACTTGCAACAAATCCTTCATCCCAATCACCTTCACTTACAGCTTTTAAATCCTTCAAAAGGCTTCCTGCCTTCCAGCTCTAAGGTAAGGCTAAGTAAGAACCATATACATCTGTTCTAAATGACCTACAAATTCATACCGACACAGGTAGGACACTCACTAGCAGCCCAGGCACTGCCTGTACTCTAGCAAAGGGAATGCCAAATCAGGTACATACCTATTGTATTTCTTCCAGCAGATTTTTCAGATCCTGACAGGTTTACCAGCACAACACCTCCAATGCTATGAGAATAACAGTCATTACTAATAAGCAAAAGAATAAATTCCTTAAAGTATAATCATAAAAAGCATTTACAAATAATAATGCCTAATCTCAACTTTAGGTAAAACTGTCCAAGAATTTAGTGATGTAATGAATAATAACTAAGCAGCATGTGTCACGTACTATTATATTCTAAGTGCTACTCAAAAGAACCAAACACACTGCCATCAAGTCAATTTCTACTCACAGTGACCCTGTGTAGGGTTTCTGAGGCTTCCTGGAGCAGAAAGCCTCATCTTTCTCCTGAGGAGAGGTTGGCGGGCTCAAACTGTGGACCTTGTAGTTCGCATTCCAGTGCTTATTATATAGAGCCACCACGCTCCTATAGCGTGCTACTGTTGTTGTTAAGTGCCATTGAGGCGATTCCAACCCATAGCAACCCTGTGCAGGGTTTCCAAGGAGCAGCTGGTGAGCTTGAACTGCCAACCTTGCAGTTCAAACGGCTTTGTAGTCTGGCGCATTAACCCACAGTGCCACACCAGGACTCCATAGAGTGCTATACTTGTAGCAAATCATTTGTTTACCTCCTTATCAGGAAGATGTAATCACTGTCATTCCCATTCTATACCCAAGAAAACCAACGCTTAAAGAGGTGAAATGACCTGACCAAGATTGCACAGCTGGGATGTGGACCCGGCCGCCTGCTTCCAGAGTCCAGTGTTCCTCCCCCTATGCTAGCTACTGCCTCTCACCTGGGAAAGCATGTCACTACCCTTCCAGTCTTTCTAATGCCCACGTACATAATGTAAATGCATACACACCTAGAATGGCACCGTTCTTGTTTCTGGGCAAAACCCAAATGAACAGTACAACTTGTTTGTTGTTGTTAAGTGCCATTGAGTCAGTTCCAACTCATACTGACCATGATAGGGGTTTCCCAGGAGTAGCTGGTGGGTTTTAACTGCCAACCTTATGGTTAGCAGTCCAGTTAATCCCATGAAGTCCTGGTGTGGCACTGTAGGATAATCACTGGACTGCTATCCCTATAACCTTATACAAGGTTGCGATGAGTAGGAACTGATATGAAGGTACTAAACAATAACAAAATAATCCTATTATTTAAATGAGTAAAAATAAGACTGTGCTAAGGATGCTGAGAATTAAAAGAATTGTTTTAATTATTTATTGAGCACCTAATATGGTTCATACCAATGAACAAATCGCATTTGGTTCCTATTATCAGAAAAACTTACATTGTCTTTCTACTTATATGCATCTTAGAAGATGTATGTATCTTTTCAAGCAGATGAAGTATCTCTAACTAAAAAAAAAAAAAAAAATCAATCTAGTTCTCTCACCTAGGAATATGAAGATAAACACCCATTGTTCTGGCATTATACTGTCACAAATCATAGCCTGTCCTTATGGCCATACAATAAGTTAACATAATTTTCTGTAGAAACTCACTGTTGAAATTCAGATTCAATTATTATTTTATTGAGCACTTACAACATATAGAAACTTTGCATCATATTATATCACATGACCAGTCATATTCTTATAAAAATTCTAAGATTTTAACTTTATTTAATATATACGATGGAGTTCTGGTATGGTGCTGTGTGTTAATGTACTAGACTGCAAAGTTGGTCTGAATTGCAATGTTAGCGGTTCAAGCTCACCAGTCGCTCCTTGGGAACCCTATACAGGGTTGCTATGGGTCAGAATCGACTCGATGACAATTAACAACAACAGCAATGTATACAATAAAAAAAGCAGCAATAATAATAATATACCATCAAGTTGGTTCCAATTCATAGCAACCATGTATAAGGTTTCCAAGGAGCGGCTGGTGAGTTTGAACTGCAGACCTTAAGATTCAAACTGACTTGCGATCCAGTGCTTATCCTACAGTGCCACATACTGAGTACTTATTGTATAACAGATACTGTTACAAGCACTTCAGAAATTTTAAATCATTTATCCTTACAATGAGTTTATAAAATAAATTCTATTATTATCCTCAATTTGCAAACAAGGAAACTTAGGTACTGAGAGATAAGAACCTGCCCAGGATCCCAAAACTAGTAATGACAGCGGCAGGATTAGATTCCAGGTTGTCTGGTTAAAGGCCACACTTGTAAACACTTTATGCTAATTTGTCTATCAACTGATAAAATGCGATTTCTTGGCTTATCAGACAGACAAAAACTGTTGCTACCAGGCAGTTGTTACATTATTTTTATAACCTCAGAAATAGAATTTCATTGTACAAGGCCAGTTTTCTTAAGAACATATACTTTCGTAAAAATATTTTCTAAATAACCATTTTTCTAGACAATGGGTCAAACATTTTTCTTTAAAACCGCGGATAGTATTTATTTTATACTTGTAGGCTATATGGTCTCTGTCACATCTCAGTCTGACATTGAAGCACTAAACTATCCATAGACAATGTGTAAAGGAACAAGAAAGGCTGTGTTTCAATAAAAATTTGTTAATAAAAATAGGCCCACCAAACTTTGCTGACATCTGTTCTGTTGTTATTAAGCGTCATTAAGTCAGTTCCAACTCATAGCAACCCTGTATAGGGTTTCCAAGGAGCAGCTGGTGGGTTTGAACCACTGACCTTTCAGTTAACAGCCAGTACTTGTCCTACAGCACCATACCATGACCTACTTTAATTAGAAGGGAAATAGTTGCAAGATCACCAGTTTACAATCATTTCCTTCTTTATTAAGATACTGCAAAGAGAAGTTAGAAATAAGCACAAATTTTGAATGAAGATGAATAAAACCTCATTTCTTTCCCTAATACAAATATAGTATATTTCTAGTGCAAAAACATACTCAGTCAGAACATTAGCACACAAAAGAATGAATAGTGGCCTTAAAGTCCACATGGTAAATTATTTACCTCGTCTAGTTTGTCCATTGGAATTACCATGGTCAACTTAGCCTTGTAACTTAGAGAAAAACCACCTAATAAGAACTACCATTTGTATGACTGCCATATACCAGCCTCTAAAACAGCCACTCAATATGCATTACTTTCAACTTTAAAACTTCAAAATAGAAATAACTACCTACTTTTTCAACTAGGAGCCCCTCTCAGAGAATTTAAGGGAATTGCCCAGGGATGAAGAACAGGGAGTTCATTCAAACCTACCTCTGATAGCTAAAAAACACTACACTTTCTCTACTAAAGCATTCTGCTACCTTCTCTGATTTCTTCTTTCTCACATAAAAACAATCACTCTATAAAACCAGCATATTTTTTCTATCTATGGGCACAGCCCTATGCTAGGTCTTTGTGGTAACACAAGCAAGGCTTTGGTATCCCAGGCATTTACAATCCAGTAAGGGAGTCCTGGTGTGGAACCATAGTATAAGCACTCTACCTCAAGGTCAGTTTGAACTGCAAGACTGGAGGTTCAAATTTGCCAGTCGCTCCTCAAAAACCCTATACAGGGTCGCTATGAGTTGTAACTGACTCAACAGCACTTAACAACAAGGGAAGACAAGAAGTCCTGGTGTGGCACTGTAGGATAAGAACTGGGCAGCTAGCAGTAAGGTTGGCTGTTCAAATCCACCAGTTGCTCTTCAGTAATCCTATATGGGGTCACTATGTGTCAGAAGCAATTGGACAGCACTTAACAACAACAAAAGGGAAGACATGGCAAACACAAAACATTAAATAAAAACAAAAGATTAAAGTACACTTATTTACAATACTGATGCTACTTGGTGATTTAAAAAAAGGTGAACTGAATTGAGGACTTTTAAAAATAACACACTAGAGGCTGAGACAATCAGGAGACTGCTAAATTTTTATGTATAGAATATGATTTTAGAAACCAAACTACAAACAAAAAGGGAAATTTATCTTCGGAATGGAAACAAAAATTAAGAAGACTATGAGAATTAAGTTGGCAGGTAGAATCTAACATGCTAGTGTAGCCCTTAGTAAGTCTGCCATCGTGGGAGTAGGAACCAAAGCTGCCAGAGTCCTTTCTGTGCCACCCTAACAAGGAAGGCGTGGAAAACCAGTCCACCACACGTAGCAGAGGTGAGTGCTGAGGAGCATGACGTCCATTTAAAATCTTTCATCTACATCTTACTTCGTCTATATATCATAATATAAACCATCCTGTAGCACTGTCAAAAATGTCTCAAATATCGTTTTAAGTAGCATAAACTAGTTATTGAACTATATTCTTACCTTAAAATTACAGCTAACAGTTTAGAAAGGGTAAATCTATCTCCACTGTTACTTGGAAACACTGCAGCAAGAATTAAGGTAAAAAGTCCTATGGGGAAAAGAGGATTTAAAAAAAAGTGTATTAGCTTAAATACTGTCAAAAATACTTACTATCAACTTGGTAGCTTAAATAAGTAAATATGAGAGGGCTTCAGAAAGTTCATGGAAAGATGGGATTCAAAGATAATGAAATTTTTCCATACACATTTTGAAGCCCTCTCATAAAGCTACCTTTTGAACTATATTTTGTCACTTTTAAAGAACTACAGACTAAGTCTGACCTTACCTAGGCTGACATTTTGGGAGATTATGAAAACAACTTTGAAACTAAACTATGCTTATTTTAACAATATAAAGTCAATTCTATTTATTTTAAGCTAATAAGTGAGTTATGTCCAGCATTCAAAATGGCATTCTGATCTCATCAAAATCTAGCCAGTGTGTTAAGGATATTTTTACAACTTCAAAAATACTTCTTTTTATCTTCTGGATTTGGAAGGTGATTCAATTTTAAAAATAAAACATCTTTCATAAGGCAAATTATAGTTCTGAAGTAAGTATTACATTTAGCCACAGGGTTTAGAAAAACATTTCCATAAAGCATATGTGAAGACAAGTGCAATAAGAGAACCGCCATATAAAATTTTATATTATTGTATAAGAAATACTTAAAGTATCTGCAGGAATGTAAGTCACACAGAACATGGCATGAAACTATAAACATTATGAAGCAGTGACAATATACTACTGCATAGTAGAACTGATAAAACAGTTTATAACAGATAAAAGTATGTATATGCATGCTTGTGTGTGTATCAGAAATAGTTCTGTTTATAAAATAGGTTTTGAAGACAAATTCTTACCAGAAGTTGAAGACAAAATATTAACAATAGCAACTTGTGTATCTGAAAGTGCTTCTTGATATGACAAATTTGCCAAAAACCACTGAAGAAAAAGGAAAAACAATGAAACCTAATGAATGGCATATTTGTTATTATAATTTACATTCCCCTTCTTTTGCTACTTCTATAGTCTTATAAAAGGTTTTAAAAGTTTTTTATATAATGAAAAATTACTGGTGCCCAAAAAGGACAAACTAATTTATAAAAAGGCTTTGCTATCCCACTTCCCTTAAAAAAATTAATAATAATAGTTGATTAAAAATTCATGTTTTGGATTTTTAGATTAGTAAAATCAATTCTCATATCAACATTAAAATTTGCTTTATCCAAGTAGCTCTAGTGCTCTATTAAGTTTATCTAAATAAAATATAAATTTTTAGGAACTGCTTAAACATTGAAATATGTCTTATATGGGTAAATATTTTATGATGAGAAATCTATACAAGAAAACGTCTATGGGGTGGACAGATAGATGCTAACTAGCTAGATCAATAGTAACTCAGAACTGGTCTATGAAAATTTTAAGTTTACTAATTGTGATTGTTTCTCTACTATCCAGTTTGGTGACCCAAACCAAAGTGTTTCCATGACTTGGACACACTGATAGAAGTTTCCCAACTATGATGATTTTTCCTCCATTTCTTTTCTTCTGCTCATGTTCTTTACTACCTTGATTTATGGAAAAAGAAATAAGACCGCCTTTTGAAAAAGTCTGATATGTGTGTGTATGTGTCCAAAATGCATTTACTTTCACTGTTACAGTGTATTCTAATGCATACTACACATTCATTTTCTGTTGTTGGACACTTACGGTGCTATTTCAAACAATGCTGCTATCAACAGTCCAGCACATACCTCCTCATACATGTGAGCATGCGTATCATGAGCATATATGCTAAGAAATGGACTGCTGGGTCCTAAGAACATACGTTCTCAACTTTATTAGATAATGCCAAACTCTTTTCCAAAGTGATTACAATCACTGATGTTCTCACTCACTAGGTAAAAGAACTGCTGTTATTCTACATCCTTGAACAATCTGGCTTTGGAAAACTGTACAAAGAAGTAATCAAAGTAAATTAATTGCTAGTCTGTTTTTGTACTTATACAGATTAAAGGGATAATCATATTCCACTGAAGAATAACTTGTCTCATTAAGAAAGACACCTCTTAACCTCAGAATTTGTAGTTAAGTGAGGATAATTATTATTACTATTTGAATTTCAAAGAAGCTACATAGTTACATGATCTCAGAGCATTACTACAAGTTAAAAATCTTTGAGAGCCTAGCAATCTCCATCCCATCTGTCCTACACTCAAAGCTAAAGCCAGAATGATACTGTCAAAATGGTTTCCATTATGTCTGCGGTCCTCTGACTTCCTAGATACTGGCACTTCCTTATGTAAAACAAGAAAGAGAGGCAGCAGTTGACAAGATGGGCAATATCAAACATAGAACAGGAGCCCAAGCTGCCTGGAGCTGAAGTGTTTAAATAGAGTAGGAGTATCTACCCTGAATTATCTCCTGGTGATTTTCTGCAAGAATAGATAATGTGCTGTTGTTATTGCTAAGTGCCATCAAGTCCATTCTGACTCACTGCAACCCTGTATAGGGTTTCTGGGAGTCCTGGTGTGACTGGGTAGGATAAGCAGTAGACCTCAAGGTAGGTTTGAACAACAAGATGGTGGTTCAAATCCACGAGCTGCTCCTCGAAAATCCACCCTAAACAAGGTTGCTATGAGTCAGAACTGACTCAACGGCACTTAACAACAAACATAGGATTTCTCACACTTTACATCTTCTTGGGAGCAGAGAGCCTCATCTTTCTCCTACGGAGCAGCTGACAGGCTTGAGCTGCGAACCTTGTGGTTTTCAGTCCAATGCTTACCGTTTGGAGCCACCGTGCTCTCCCACAAATAACATGGATAGGGTAATTTGGCACTTACTATTTCAATAATTAGATATCATGCTCACTTTCCAAACAATTCCATTGGTCACTGCTAATGAAAGACAAAGCAATAAAACAGACAACTGAGATGGCAGGCTTTCAGAGATGCTAGGAACTCATGATGAGCTACAACCTCTTTTCAGAAAAACTCAAAACTCCCAAACTCAACTTTCTGGCTCTCCAACCCAAGGCACACTCATCACAGAAGATCACAGTTAACTTCTAATAGAAAAGTATCCTTATAACGTTTCCCACTATTTTTCGAGAGTTGAGGACAACCACTTAAAACATAATTAGCTCATTTCTAGCATGTAATTTATATAATACTTCATGAATGATAACGAGTTTAAAAATTGTTATAAAAGATATTTTCAGTAAAGCCAGTATCACCTAGATTATATTTTATAGGACAAAAATTATACAATATAAACCCTAATGAGAGGAAGCACTGGTGACACACGGGTTAAAGTGCTCAGCTGAAAACTGAAAGGTTGGTGGTTAGAGCCCACATGTGTCTCTGCAGGAGAAAGATGTTTGCCAGTCTGCTTCCATAAAGATTACAACCTTGGAAGCCCTACAGGGCAGCCCTGTCCTCTATGAGTCAGGATCAACTCAATGGCAGTGGGTTTGATACTGAGTTTGGAAGCCCTACTGAAACAAACTGTACTCAACAACCATGGGAAAACACAGTAATCTTTAACTCCTTTTAGCCTGCACTATCCAATGAGTCCTGGTGTGACACTGTGGGTTAATGCACCAGACTGCAAAGCTGTTTGAACTGCAAGGTTGGCGGTTCAAGCTTACCAGCTGCTCGTTAGAAACCCTACACAGGGGCTAGAATTGACTCGATGGCAATTAACAATAATCCAATAAATGTGAAGAGCCCTGGTGGTGTGGTGGGTTATGCACTAGGCTGCTAACTTCAAGGTCAGCAATTTAAAGCCACCAGCTCCTCCCTAGGGGAAAGATTTGGCTGTATGCTCACATAAAGATTTAGTCTTAGAAACCCTACAGAGCAGGAGCTCTGGTAGCATAGTGGTTATGGGTTGGGCTACTAACCTCAAGGTCAGAGGTTCTAACCTACCAGCAGTTCTGTGGGAGAAAGATGAGGCTTTCTGCTCCGGTAAAGATTTACAGTCTCGGAAACCCTATACAGGGTCACTATAGTTCAAAACCAACTCATCAGCACTTAACAACAACAACAACAGCATAGGGTAGCTATGAGTTGGAATTGACTTGATGGCAGTGAATTTTGTTTCACTATTTAGGTATCCAACATACTAGCACTAGCCATATGCAGTAGCTGAAAGGTGGCTAGCCCAAATTGAACAAAAATAATAATAATGGATTTTATAGATTTTAGCACCAGAAAGAGAAATCTAACTCCCACATCAATAATTTTTATACTGATAACATTGGCACAATTTTTTTAACACAGAGAAATTAATCTCGTATTAGAATTAACTTAATCTGTTTCTTTTTACTTTTGTTTTAAACCACAGATACTAAAACACTTAAAATTACACACTTGGCTTACATTTCACAATTTTTTTAACACAGAGGAATTAATCTCGTATTAGAATTAACTTAATCTGTTTCTTTTTACTTTTGTTTTAAACCACAGATACTAAAACACTTAAAATTACACACTTGGCTTACATTTGAGGCTCATGTTGTATGTCTATTGAACAGCACTGTTGTAGACCTTAAGATTTTACTATTAAGCTTGATTTGTAAAGGTTATATATTTGGACTATATTATTAATCTGACTTCCACAACAATGTCTTCACTAAAGACTAATAAGATTTATTTAACAATGATTTTTTTTTTTTAAAAAGACAATTATGTGTGGTACTGTAGGACAAGCACTGGACTGCAAGAATAGTTTGAACTATACGATTAGTGGTTCAAACTCAGAAACTCTATACAGGGGTGCTATGAGTCATAACCAACTCAATGGCATTAACATTATCTACACATATGTTTATAAACCTGACATTTCTTATTACATAAGAAACTAAGTAAAAAATTTCTCATAAGTTCTGAGTTAGGAAAATGTTTTGCTTTATCCAATGAAGTGAGATACTTCTTTTAATAGGCAACACATTGAGTTCTCCTGGTGTAGCCCTGTGGGATCAGCAATGGACTGCAAACCACAAGGTTGGCAGTTCAAACCCACCAGCTGCTCTGAGGAAATCCTACATAGGGTCACTATAAGTGGGAACTGACTCAATGGCACTTAACAACAACAAAGATGGAGTCCTGGTGTGGCACTCTAGGATAAGCATTGGACTGTTAACTGCAAGGTTAGTGGGTGAAACCTACCAGGCAACAATCCTTTGAAATCCTGTATAGGGTCGCTATGAATCAGAACCAATTTAACAGCATTTAACAACAACAACAAGCTATATAAGAGTCCTGGTGTGGCACTAAAGGATAAGCACTGGGCTGCCTACCTCAAAGTCAGCAGTTCAAACCCACTAGATGCTCTCAGAAACCATACACAAGGTCACTAGGAGTCAAAACTGAACCAACGGCACACAGCGACAAAAAGCTGTATAACCCCTTTTTGCCTTGCCTGCCAGTGTGCCTGGATATGAAGTGTGCTCACCTGAGCAGCCTTCTTCATTTAAATGAAAGTTCCCACCATAATCGTTCCCTTCCACAGCCAGCTCCCTCCCTAATCCACTAACCCTTTTAATTTGGCTCTTATCTTTTCCCTGTTTTAATTTTTAATGTACAGATGCTTTTATTACAAGCCATCTCAAGTCTTCTTTGAAAATTAGGTAGCATGTAATTAATATTATTCAGTCCTGCCTGATACCAATTTAAAGTAATCAGGAATCACAATGACCAGTACAACCTTCATACTGTTGTCAAGTGCTGTCAAGTCAGTTCCAACCCATAGCGACCATGTATAGGGTTTCTGAGGAGCAGCGGTGAGCTTGAACCACTGACCTTGCAGTTCAAACAGCTCTGCAGACTAGCGCATTAACCCATAGTGCCACACCAGGACTCTAACCTTCATATATGAGCCATTAAATTATTTCTATTATATATGTATTATTATATCAAAACTCTCAAAGATTTCTT